ATCTGCTGACTTTGCACATCATGAACGAAACTCGAGCGAATAGCAACGAAGCAGCTTTTCTAGCCATCTTTGGGGATGGATCTGTCGTGACCTGGGGACATACTGCTCATGGTGGCGACAGCAGTGGCGTTCAGGATCGGCTGAAGAACGTGAAGCAGATCCAAGCCAACGCAAACGCTGTTGCTGCCATTATTTCCGACGGATCTGTTGTGGTCTGGGGCGACGCTTCCTCTGGTGGTGACAGTCATGCCGTCCAGGATCAGCTAAAGAATGTTGAGCAGATCCAAGCTTCTGACAGAGCTTTTGCGGCAATCCTTGGTGATGGATCTGTGGTGACATGGGGCGCTGCTTCTGCAGGCGGTGACAGTGATGCTATGCAGGATCAGCTGAAGACTGTTCGGCACATCCAAGCCACTCGAGACGCTTTTGCTGCCATTGTTGATGATGGATTTGTCGTGAGTTGGGGCCGTGCTGCGTTTGGTGGCGACAGCAGTGCTGTGCAGGATCGCCTGAAGAAGGTGCAGCAAATCCAGGCCAATCAGCGAGCCTTTGCTGCCATTCTCGCTGACGCTGAGGGGTACTTAGAAATATTTATTCAATTTTTTGGTAATTATAACCCCTAAGAGACAGCTAAAATCCCTTTTTTTGCTAGGGTTCTAAGTTCAGTATAGGACGGATCTGTCGTGTCCTGGGGTGATGCTGATAACGGCGGTGACAGCACCACTGTGAAGGATCAGCTGCGTGGCGTCCAACAGATCCAAGCAACTGGAACAGCTTTTGCAGCCGTCCTCTCTGATGGATCCGTCGTGACATGGGGACACGTAGAATATGGTGGAAACAGCGGGCCTGTGCAGGATCAGCTGAAGAACGTGCAGCAGATCCAAGCTGCCGAGATTGCCTTTGCTGCCCTGCTTGCTGATGGATCCGTTGTGACCCTCATTGGCTGTAAACTCAACTTTTCAACTTTTGGGGTTCTTATAAGATAGTCGGTTCTGAAAGTTTCAACTTTTATTTCCTTGGGTTTTGGGCCAGTTAGGACCTGGGGATACGAGCTGAGCGGCGGCGACTGCCGTGAAGTACAGAAGCAGCTGAAGAATGTGTATCAGATCCAAGCCTCTCAACATGCCTTTGCCGCCATTCTCTGTGACGGCTCTGTTGTGACCTGGGGTGATGATCGCTACGGTGGTGACAGCGCTTCTGTCCAGGATCAGCTGAAGAATGTACAGCAGATCCAGGCTTCTCGCGGTGCTTTCGCCGCAATTGTTGGCGATGGATCTGTTGTGACCTGGGGCAATCCTTCTTTTGGTGGTCACAGTTCTGTTGTACAGGATCGTCTGACGAATGTTCAACAGATCCAGGTCTCTCAGTTTGCCTTCGCAGCCATTCGCGAGGATGGATCCATCGTCACCTGGGGGCATGCGGGCTTCGGCGGTGACAGCAGTGCTGTGCAGGATCAGCTGCAACGCGTTTAGCACATCAAAGCCTCTGAGATTGCGGGGCAGCCGCGCTCGAAAACAGCTCAGACCCTAAACACGACTTCAACTCAGTAGCGGAGTAGGGAACCTTTAGCATTTTGGGGGTTTATGTAATCCTGCCATACAAGAAAAGGTTAATTAACCCTTTTTGGGCTGGGGGGCTCAGCCTCTACGTTTCACCAAAGATCAATACAAAGACAGCCCTTGATCCGGAGATCTTCGGTACGAGCTTTCCGGTCATAGTTAGTGTATATACTTGCCTGATTCAGTTTGAGATGTGGTTTCCGGTTGTTGGTTTTGTTTGGTTGCTGCCCACGCCCTACACCCGAAACAAACCCCTAAACCCTAAACCCCAAACACTTAACCGAACAGTACTGCTGATGGACAAAATCCTGCATGACCCTAAGGACCCTAAACTATGGGAATTATGGTATATTCCTACCCTAAACCCTAAACCCTTATTATGGGTCATGCAGGATTTATATCATCAACCGTATGACTAGGGATCTCCAATGCTATACCTAGAGGCTCACACCCTACCCCGTTTTTTAGGATACCTAGTTTTATTAGGGTTTAGGGTTTAGGGTTTAGGGTCTGTAGTCTTAAAAAGTAGGCGCCCTAAAAAACGGGGTAGGGTATGAGCCTCTGGGTATTTGGTAACGTTGATGGCACCTGGAACTTTGACATTTGGGCACTTGGACTAGTAGGGTCAATACTCAATACTACTGCTGCGTTTCAGTACCGGTCAGTATCCTTATTCTTGCTGTTCACCCTATAAAAACGCCAAAACACTAAAGCCTTGAATCCTTAACCCTAAACTTCTAAGCCTTTAAACCCTGAAACACTCCCTGAAACCCCTAAACCACTTAACCCTAAAGTAAAACCCCGCAACCCTGCTATTCGCCTTGCGAGGTCTTCCATGGCGTCAACGTGGTTCAGAAGAGCTTCCCCTGGCATCCTTCTCTGGGCTGCTCGGCGACTTCTTTAATCAAAGGGTAAAAGGAGGGACCCTTAATGGGGAGCCCTACCCTATAATATCGTAGCTATATTAAGGGTATATACCTAGGGGTCCTTATTGGCGACTTCTTTAAGGTCATGTTTGGGCTTGGGGTTTAAAGTTTAGAGGTTTCGGGTTTAAGAAGGTATGTCGAGCTCATGTTTGGGCTTTCTTGGCCAATCTAGAGGTCTGAATGACCAGGAGTCAGAGCAGAGCCCTTCAAACTCCTACGTACTGTTCAATGTATATACCCATAGGCCCCAAAGTAGTTCCTTTTTTGGATTACCTAATAGGATTCTAAATATGAGCCCCAAAAAGGAACGACTTCAGGGCCTTAGGGTACCTCCAAACCCCAGGTCGAATCTTCAGGGCAGCCATCTTCAGCCCTACAAAACCCCAAGGGTCCAAAGGACCCAATAATTAGGTACTCGGTTTTCGGATAGTAATTATGTAGGTTAGGATTTCGGAGAGTGTATGATTATTAGGTACTTGGACCCTTGGGGAAACCTTGCACGAGCCTATCCAACCTTGTTCCCGTTGGTTCCTGAAGATTGGGTGTGTGTCCTTGCTGTTTTGGGAGCTACCTCCAGACCCTCACAAGTAAGTCTTCGCTTCGGTTCTCCGACGGTGGGCGCTCCCCCTGAGGGTTTATGTAGCCAAATAGGTTTAGGGTGTTAGGGTCCATGGACGCAAACAACGTAATAATCTCGGCCCAAAGCACGTATAAGGGGACTACTTCAAGGTCAAAGTATGTACTGTTTGGGTACCTTTACCCTCAGGGTAAGGCTTTACGGGGTGCTGTATTGTGTTACGGGTTTGCACGGTGTCATGGGTTTTCTATGTCTGGCAACAGAATCTTCTTGCAGCTGAACTTGGGTGGTTTCCTTATGGGATCAAACGAAGAAACGTCCCTTTGTTCTTAAGGGCATTCTAGGAACCCGGTTGGGTACTTCAACATCGAACCTGGTTTTGGCAGGCACGCAATATTGCTTTTCAGGGCCCGGGGTTTAGGGTTTAGGGTTGAGGGGTTCTGGGCCACAGGGTGCTTACTTGGGTTAAGGCCTGAGGGTGGGATTTACATTGTCACGGGCTCAGGCCAGGGTCAGAAGCGCTGTTGCCGGCACACGCCCCGTAGGCTCCAAAATACAAATGCAAACGCTGGCTCCAAAATACCCTAGGGCCCTAAAATAGTTCCTGTTTTGGGTTCATATTTAGAATCCTATTAGGTAATCCCAAAAAGGAACTACTTCGGGGCCTATGGGTACAAATGCAAATGCTGGCTCAGGTGAGTTTGATGCGAACACCTCCCTGAATGCCGAGGACGGTACATCTTTGGCGCAATACGTGGTAACGGTATTTGTCAGACTTCCTTCCCGAACCCCCCATTCCTAAACCCGGCCCCAAACCGTAATGAAACCCTAAGCCCAAAACCTTGAGCCTAGACGAAGCCAGACTCGATCCAAAACACTTGACCCTAGACACCCAGATGTTTGAAAGGGCCCGTCCCGCCCGAAAGATTCCTGCCCAAGCAAATTCAGACTTCAAAAAGCACTCTACAACGTGTCCTGCAGCTAAAGCCCCAAATCCCCAATGCCCTAAACCCTAAACCTTAAACTCTCAAATCCCAAAAACCTAAACCCTAAAGGCATAAACCCCAAACCCTACAAACCCTCAAACCCTAAAACCCCTAAACACCTGAAGCCCTAAACCCCAAACCCTAAAACCCTGAACCCCTACATACCTGAAGCCCTAAACCCAAAAACCCTCAAACCCTAAAACCCTGATCCCTGAATGTCTGTTTTCAGGGCTTGAGCTTGGGTTTACTTCAGTCGGAGGGTAGAGATTTGCGGTTTCATCATAGGGTTGAGGGTTTAGGATTTAGGGGTTTAGGGGTTTAGGGGTTTAGGATTTAGGGTTTAGGGTTTAGGGTTTTAAGGGTTTTAGGATTTAGGGTTTAGGGTTTAGGGTTTAGCATCTAGGACCCAGAGTAGGCCCTTATTCCCTTTTTGAAGGTTTAGGCTCCCTTATAAACCCCTTTAAACCAAAAAGGGCACCCTTTTTATTCCTAGGTTACTCTTAGGCCTAGTCATAGGGTTGAGGGTTTAGGGGTTCAGGGGTGTCACGGTTGAGGGTTCAGGACTCAGTGTGTTCAGGACTTGGGGTTGAGGCTTCGCGAAAGGTAGACAGCATGATCCTTGCCCACCGCACGTACATAGCTCGACTAGAAAGAAGGCGAAGCTCCCTACACGAGAGCTGCACTAGGATTGTTGAGCCGTTTGCCTGTTCTCTATGAAATTACAAGGGATTTTAAGGTCTAGGGCCTAGAGTTCGAACTTGAGGGTTTGGCGATCTAGAATGCGAAGCCTAGCCCAACCTGCAACCCTCAACCCTAGAGCCTTAAACCCGAACCGTGAACCTTAAAGTCTAGGCCCTAAACCTTAAAGCCTAACCCTCAACCGTCAACGGACCCTAAACCCGACGCTCACACCCCAGACCTTCAGCCTAGCCCAGACAAGTCCTGGAAGGACATGGCGAATTTGCAGTCATGGGGTCTCAATGTTGTCAGGCCTTGGGGAGGGCGAGGTTGGCCTTTCATGGGAATGCCAAACCCAAAACACTGGGAGTTCTAGTCCACGCTGCTAAGGTTATGGCCACTTAACTGTAGGTACAAGACTATCAAAGGGGAAAAGGAGGGACCCTTAATGGGGACCCCTACCCTATAATGGGCTACATAATGGGTATACAATAGCTATATTAAGGGTATATACCTAGGGGTCCGTATTCCCAGAAAAACAAAGGGCAACCTCAAACCCTTCTTAAACACTACACCCTAAACCCCAGACCCCAAGCCCACAATCGAAGTGCTAATTATACCATCGCCACAGACCTGATGCACCCAAGCCCGAACTGCCCCAGACCCTGAAACTCAGATGCAAGAAAGGAAAACGGTGTTTTACGATGGATTTCTGAGGGTCTGATAGTGTCGTTAGGCCCTAGCATGCTTGCCCCCGTTTGCGTTGGCCATCGTTATCAAAGCTACCTTACGAAGAAGGCTCCGCAATGCAGCACCCAGTTTGGGATAACTTATTCTTGGGCTTAGGATTTTAATACGTTTGCAGAGGTACTTGGAGGTTCGTGGGTAGTTAGAAGTGGGGTTATAAGCAGGATAGCTATAGTTATAACCCATATTAGGGGAGTTATAGCCGTACTTATGACCACCCTTGAACCCCTAAGCCCGAAACCCGAAACCCGAAACCCTAAACCCGAGACCCCCATGAACCTCCAAGCAACCAGACAAAGGTTCCACATTTCAGGGTCAAGGTAGGAGGTTGGTCAGGCTCCTGTGCTTTCGGAAACCTCAGCGACTGCTCATAAGCTCCAAGGCTCAAGCCAAGACAGACCTCGGCAAAATCCATTCACAGGCTCTATAAGGATTACTATAAGGGGTATTATCGGGGGTTTAGTATAGGGGACTTAACAATTTGAATAGGGTTTTGGGGCCCCTTAGACAAGAGTTATAATAAGGAACCCCCAAAACAATGTAGCCGTAATGTGTTAAGCCCAAAGGGTTTAGGGGTTTAGGGTTTAGGCTTGAGCAGAAGCTCTAAGACTCAAAACGCTATATCCAACCCTCATGTCGCATCCCTAAACCGACCCAGGGTTTCGGATTTCGGATTTAGGGTAGAGAAGACAAGACAAAGTCGCAGGCTCGGCGTGATGTGGCCCGGTGTGGAGCCAGCGCCCGGCAAGTACAACCAGACCTATCTCGAAGCTCCTGGGGTGTAGATATGGGGTTGAAAGCTTTTTTGGGGGTGTAGGGTGTAAAGCCTTTAGGGTTTAGAGCTTACAGCTTTTATAGGGCTTAAAAGGCTTAAAGCTTTCAGGGCTTAGGGCTTAAAGCCTTTAGGGTTTAGAGCTTTTAGGGTTTAGGGTATCCATTTCTGTTGTTTGTTGTTGCAATTGCTTTTGGTGTTTAGTTAGGATTCGGGAGGTGATTCGTGTTCGGTGTTTGAGAGATGCGAGTTCTAGGGCTTTGAAGTATATTTGTTCTGTGGCTGGTGCCTTTTTGTTGATGCCTGTGCCAAGGCTGTGTATGCTTCTGTGATGTATGCAGACTCTTTTGTTGCCGTGCCGTGTGCGTCCGGCCATCACGGGAAGGTTTTGTAGCATCTGTTGGTTCTGAAGCTTTTAACATGAATTGCGAGTTTTCGGGTTTGATTTCAATACGTTACCGCATAGACGGACAGCCAAACCCTCGGGCTCAGGCTCAAACCACTAGTCCTGCGGCCAGGCACCTTCCCAAGCTGAAGCCTACGCGGTCAAAAGAGCCTTCGAAGCTGAACTGAGAGGTCTTGCGTAGGGACCTGAAACCCTAAGCGCTAAATCCTAAACCCTAAATCCTAAACCCTATAAACCCTAAACCCTAACTCCCTAGACCCTAATTCCCTAAACCCTAAACTCTAAACCCCTAAACCCTAAACGGAGCCGCCTCTTAATGAGGATCCTCGGGTTCCTGGTGACACAGAACTCAGATGTTCAGGGCCCCGGGGTTTGCAGTTTGTGTTGTATCTTCGCCAGGTTGCTGCATCAAAAGCCCTCTCGCCCACCAAAGCCTAAACCCTAAATCCCTAAATCCCTAAATCCTTAAACCCCAAATTCCTAAACCCTAAACCCTGACTCCCGAAAAAAGCCCTGAATCCCTAAATTCCCGAACCCTAGATCCCCAAAACCCTATAAATCTTCAGGTGGTGCGGCAGTTGGTGAACGACATGCACAGTCACGGCATTTACACCATCGTGGATTTCCACCAGGCGGACGTCGACGGCTCCGGGTTTTAGACCTTTACGCTAAAGTCCCCCAAAATATAGCCCTAATAATTAGACTAGGAACCCCCAAAGTAGTATTGGTACCTTTGCTCTAAACTCCCAAATCCCAAACCCTACTAAACTTAAGACCCAGAAGTCCAAAATGTATACCATAAACCTTCAACCCCTAAACCCTAACCCTAAGGGTCCGTGTACTCATATGGTATATACATTGGCCTGAATGTAGTTCCTATATAGGTACTTTGGGGCCCATGTATCTCTACTAGGACCCAGAGTAGGCCCTTATTCCCTTTTTGAAGGTTTAGGTTCCCTTATAAACCCCTTTAAACCAAAAAGGGCACCCTTGTTATTCCTAGGTTACTCTTAGGCCTAGTATAACCTCCAACCTTAAACGCTGCAACCCTGCACCCCTGCCCTAGCGGACCGCTGAGGCTCCGAGGGCTCACAGTTTGAGGCAATTGGGAGTTTCCGAAAATTAGAGGTTCCTTATTTTGGGGTCCTTATAATAAGAATCCTACTTTTTAGGGTACTATATTATAAGGGTTCATCCCTATTTTCGGAAACTCCCAATTGGGCTCCGAGGTATTACTTTGCAGAGGGCTTCAGGGCTCAAAGCCATCCAGCCATCCATCCTTCCACTCTTCCATCCTTCCATCCACCCACCCATCCACCCATCCACCCATCCGTCCTAACCATCCAAACACCTGGCTAGGATGCCTTTGCAGAGCGTTTCTGCGGCGAGGGCGTTCCGGATTGGCTTCTTGGGACGCTTGGACGCAATGAAGAATCCAACAGTATTTACGAAGGTGTTTCGTTTACAATCCGGTCTCCGAAGCAAGCAGGGACTGTGGATAAAAAAGCCATGCCCTTTGTGTAAGCACCATGTTAGGGCAGGGCCGATCTTAGCTCCCGGTGATGAGTTCGAGCCATTCATGCTTCGTCGGCCTAGGATTTAGGAACTTCAGAATGGCCGGGAAGTTGATTGTTGGTTTGAGGATTCTGCTTTCGAATCTGAGTCCTGAACCTTGACTCCTTCCTTCAACTTTCTCCACCTTCCAAGCTGACATTTGCGCTCGTTAGCTCTCCCGAACCCTCAAATGCCCAAACCGTAAATAGTGCCCAAAGCCTTCTTATGGTAGCCCTGTAGTACCCTCATAGTGCCCTCAATCATAGTATGTTTTCAGTACCCAAGAGCTCCTCTCATAAAGCCCCCCAGAGACCCAATATCCCGTAATTAAGGAATATTGCTTAAGTTGTAGAGGCCTTACTATTATGATTTAAGGTATATTTCCTTTATTAAGGGGTATTGGGCTCTCATAAAGCCCTGCTCCGCCAACTGCTAGGATGCTGGAGCCAATCCGCCGCAGCTGCAAAGGTGTCTTCCCCGAGGCCCTTTTGGGGGGACTACGCGCGTGTTTAGGGATTGTAGGTTCAAATCCTACAGGTTTGGGGTTTAGGGTTTAGGGATTGTAGGTTCAAGGCTTACGGTTTAGGATTTAGGGCATATTTGCGTCAGTACGTTACAGTTCAAAGGACGGTTATGTGTTTATCTAGTCAGTACGGATCCAGTATAAATCTTATTCGGGCCCTTACGGAAAAGGGATTTATGGATTCATCAGGGATCGCCATTCGTCTATCGTGGACGCTGTCACAAGTTCCACCTTACTTACCGCCAACCGGGCTGCCGTTTTGACAGATGGCTCGATCACCCAGCAGTACAATATGCCATAATATGCGGGTCGCAAAAATAGCCGTTCGTATTCCCTCGTTGTCGTTGTATATGTCTGGTATTTTCGTCCCCCTAAACCCTATTGTATGTGTTTGTGCCCCTAGCCCTAAACAAGTGCTCCAGGGTTCGGGGACTCCCTCAAAGACTGAAGACCCTTGCGCCCTTCTTAAAGGAACATGGGACTTAGTAACTAGGGTTATTATCAGGGTAACTTTGCCTATGACTACATATAACCTCAACTAGGATACTTATCACCTTACTTACTAAGTCCCATGATCCTCCTAATAGAACTCTTTTCGAAGCCCTATAGATCCCTTATGGATCCCTTTAAGGAACCCTATAAGGAGCCTTGCTTACTAAGTCTCATGATCCTCCAAGTTGACGGTTCCGGGCTTCGGGTTTATCAAAAGGGAACAGGAGGGACCCTTAATGGGGACCCCTACCCTATAATGGGTTATATATAATGGGTATATAATAGCTATATTAAGGGTATATACCTAGGGGTCCTTATTAAGGATCCCTCAACCCTAAACCCTAAACCCTAAATCCTAAACCCTAAATCCTAAATCCTAAATCCTAAACCCTAAATCCTAAACCCTAAACCCTAAACCCTAGGGGTCCTTAGTAAGGGTCCCTCCTTTTACCCTTCGGGCTTAGGGTTTTGGTTTCGGAGCGTCGGACGGAACTTCGGACTCAGAGTTTGGGGATTTTTTGAGCCCTTGAGGGTTTGGGGGGGTTTGGGGGTTTAGGGGTTTAGGGGTTTAGGGTTTAGGGGTTTAGGGTTTAGGGGCTTTAATACTATAGTCTCCTTAGGTACTAAATTTTTGTTCATATAAACCCTAAGAGTTTCATGGTTCTAAGAGGAGTATAGAATAAGGGTTTTGGGTTTGGTATCCTTGATATAGTTCTCCTCGAAGGCTCGTGTCCAGCGCCTAGCTCCCACAGCCCGAGACACCAGCAAGAACAGTGCAGAGGCCTCAATGATTAGCAAAGTTTGTCGTTGGCTCGTCTTCTTTTTGACCCGACAGCTGCTGAGTTTAGGCTTTAGGGTTTGAGTTTTTTTGGCTCCGAGACCATCTTACAGAGTCGTTTCCAATCTTTGAGCCTGAGAGTAGGGTAAGTTACAAGACAGAAAATCCGCAACACAGCCCAAACATCCCGAGCCCTTCACCTCACCTCAAAGCCTATCCAACACCCCAAACCTGAACCCTAAACCACTTCCTAGACCCCCCCCAACTTGCAAACTACCTTCTAGTTTACCCCAAATATACACTTTCAGGGGCTCCATGAAAGGGCCCTTAAGAGGTTTCGGGTTCAGGGATCCGACTTGAAAAATATCCTGGAAAAACCCTGGTCATGAACCCTAGACCCTAGCTTAACCCTGAAGGGCCTACTTTTTTGAGGATTTTTATGAGGAAATCATAATAAAGAGCCGTAAAACGGTAGGTTATTCAAGGTTAAGGTAAACCCTATGAACCCTAAACCTCTTCAGAATCCGACTTGAAGAAGCCAAAAGCCATCCTTGAGAAGCCCTGACGAAGCCCTGAGCGTCGGCTGTCTTGAGGCCGCAAAGCTCTTCGGCCAGTGCAAGTCCTTTGCTGATTACAACTACAGCACGGACCCCAAGACAGGCGCGCCACGGGTTTTCAATGCTTGCGAGGCGTTTTGTGACTACTATAGGGGCCTCAATAATTACCGCCACTGTTTGGGGGGCTTCCTTATTATATTCATAGTATAATGGGCCCCAAAACCCTATTCTAATTATTAAGGCCCCTACATTATTGTATCACGGTTCTAACAAGTTCCTTCTCTCTGAGGCTTGTTTGCAATATCAAAAGTTGTGCGCCGTAAGTCATATGTAAGTAGGTATGTACATATGAGAGTTCCGAAACTAGGGACCCTACTACTTTAGCACCCTAAATAGTAGCATCCTTATCATAAGGACCCCCAAATATTGTACCCCTAATTTTCGGAAACTCCTAAACCCTAAGCCCTATAGATCCCTTAAAGGAGCCCTTATAGATTCCTTTAAAGGTACCCCTAATTTTCGGAAACTCCCATATGCATAGGAGACCCTAAAAAAAACCTAGAACCTTGGGAGGATTCTGTCTTGCAGGCGGAAAAAGGCGTTACAAAAACAAAAAAACCTAGAACCTTGAAAAGGAGACACTTGAAGACGGGTTTAGGGTTTAGGGTTTAGGGGTTTAGGGTTTAGGGTTAGGGGTCTCTTCAAGGGATCTATAGTATGTAGCGTAGGGTTCCCTTCAGGGTTCCTTTACGGGATCTGTAGCCTTCCTTGCAGACTTCCCGCGAAGCGACGAGTGCCTGAGCGTGGGCTTCGACATGTACTCCCGGACGCCCGAAGTGGCGACCTGGCTTGTGAGCTTGGTGCTAAGAGGCTTGGGGTATAAGGTTAGGGATTTTTGTTGTTTTTTTTGTTGGGCTGCTTCCGCAAAGGATCCTAGAAGAGCCTTATGCTAGATACGCCGGAAACACTCCCAAACCAGATACCCTATAATAATAGCTACTGTCCTGCCATGTTCAAGGCTTTGGCCTTTAGGTCTGGATTCTGTGGGAAGGGTGGTTGGCATCTTATCCCCGCAATTATCGCAAATCCCTGGAGCCCAAGCCACTTTACTGATCATATGCTGCCCCAAATGCTATCCTGTAAGAACAACTTCGCTAAACCCAATCACGAGATTACTTCTAGGTACTTCGTACCCTGCTAAGTGCTCAGAAGACGTCGTAAAGCTTTCATAAACCCGTGTATCTGCCTTGTAACCCTAGGCCCTAGTTAACACCAGAAAGCATGCACCTTAAACCCCAACCGTACAAACTCTAAGCCCCTAAACCCCGAAACCCTAAACCCGAAGCACCTAAACCCTAAACACCTAAGCACCTAAAGCCCTAACCCCCAAACCCTTAAACCCCAAACACCTACACCCTAAACACCTAAGGACTACACCCCTAACCCCCCCCAAACCCCTAAACCCAAAACCCCAATTGACGCTTCACGCCAGACCAGCTCATGGGGCAACTTCTTCGCTTTCGCCGCTCGCCCTGCATGAAGAGGTTGAGGGTTTAGGGCCTTGAGTTTCCGAACATTGGGGATACCTTAAAGGGATCTATAAGGGTTCCTTAAAGGGTTCCTATAGGGGATCTATAGGGTTTAGGGTTTAGGGCCTTCCCCAAAGGGTTGTTTTAAGGTTGTTTCATAAGGTTTTGTGAGGGTTTTATGAGGGTCTTTGTAAGAGTTTTTCAGATGTCCGTCCTGGGGTGCCTCAAGGGCTCTACAGCAAAGAGCCCAATATAACCCCTGACTTCCAGCACAAAACCCCCAAAGCTCTAAACATCTAAAATCAGAACCCCCTAAAGCCGCAAACTCCACATCCCCTGAAGCCCTAAACCCCGCCGCCCTTAAACCAGGCTGTTCAGTGGTACACTTCTGGGTTCCTATTATAAAATACGAAGCCCCAAAAAAGTATGTACTTTTTCCCAGTGGGCTTCTGAACAGCCTAGCAATAATTGGTTAAGGGTTCCTTTAAGGGGTTCCTTGAAAGGGCTCGATAAGGGATCTATAGCAGCCTAGTAAACCACAGAACTGAAACCCCGGAGCCCCTGAGCCCCAAACCCTTTATGGGCTAGGGGTAATTGTAAAGGGATCTCTAAGGGTTCCTTAAAGGGCTCCTATAGTGGGCCCCCCATTTTCGGAAACTCTTGTATGAGCCTTACAAACCCTAAAAGCCCTAAAACGCCCCAACCCCTGAACCCTTGAGAGCCCCAAACCTTAAACCCGTAAAAGTCCCAAACCTTGAACCCTTGAAAGCCCCCAAACCTTGAACCCTAAAAAGCCCTAAAACCTGAAGCCCTAATCCTCTGAAATTGTCCGCCCTAGGCCTTTCAAACCCCAAGAGCCCCAGGATTCGGTGCAGCAGAAATTCCATGACTTCTGGTCGGTGGTCGCCAAAGCCTTCGTGGGTGTTCCAGGACCGGTAAGGATGGTTTAGGGTTTGGGGGTCTAGGATGTACCTGTATCAGACGCTTTAGGGTTTAGGGTTTACTGTAGGGTTTAGGGTTTAGGGGGTATCACCAAACCCTACGAAACAGTAGGTTATGAGCTATGACCCCTTAATGAGAGGGTCTAATGCCCCAAAACCGTAGGGTTTTGGATCCCCAGGTAGGGTTTCCCTGAAGGCTTCCCTTAACTAAGGGTTCTGTGCCGTGTGGGCTTAGCGGCTTCTCGGGAGTTTAGGGTTCGGGGCTGGGGCTTTTGTTTTAACCCTTGTAGTCCTTACCCGGACCCTGAGGAGCCTACCTTTTTAGGGTTCCCTCATCTGGTTTCTTTATATACGTCCTTAAACAGGTAGATACATTGGGGTTATATGAGGTATAGCTTATCTCTGGTTTTTGATTCCTAAAAGGGCCGCAAAGTTCTATAATTAATAGGGAGTATATGGTTTAGTTTCAGGATCCTCCTTCCAGAAAGGTATAGTGGCCTGAAGATTTGGAATAGGGCTCTGAGAGTAAGCCTCTGGAGAAATACAACCTGGATCTGAGGGACATTGGTTACTCTAGGCTATACTGGCTACTCAGGAAGCCCAAATGCCACGTCCCGCACTCGATATCATACTTTAAATCCTACCTTATAGCCCCAAATAACCCATCTTCTTCTGCAGCAATGACATAACGAAGTCATAATTCCGAACCCTAAAACAGTAGGTTCTTGAGGGTCCCCCTACACCCTACACCTGAAGCAAGTTTGAGATCTGCACACGGGAACCTGCGCAGGGAAATCCTCTCCGACCCCGCTTATGTGTGGTTGTCAAAATTAGGGTTGGTTCTTGGGTACCCTAAATAATAGGTGCCGTATTATATTAAGGACCCACAGCAGGGACCATAATTTTGACAACCACCCTCATGAATCCAAGCCCTAACCACCAAAAACGCAGAAATCGTAAAGCCCTCGACTTAGGGACTGAGACCCTAGCCCAAAGAAGGCTAACCTTTTCAAACATGGTAGGAGTATATAAACCCCACAAGCTTAAAGGTTACCTTCTCAGCTACTAAGTCTATGAACCTCTATGATGCTCTGCACACCTCACGCCCTAAACCCTTAACCCCCAATACCCGAAGGCTAACCCCTAAACTTCAGAAAACGACTTTGAAACCCTATAAACTAAGCTCTACACCGTCACAGCACTGGATGCACAGCCCTACGAACCCTGAGCAAAGACTCCTTTCCCGAATCGCAAACACGCCTACGCCCTAAATCCTGAAGCCCGATAAAGCCCGATACGCCTAAGGCACAAGCCTCAAAAGTTCAAAAGCCTAAACCCAGAACCCTAAACCCCAAAGCCAGAAGCCTCGAGCCGACAGAGAAGCTCCACAGCGCGATACCCTAAGTCCTCGCCCTTACTTGGAGGATCATGGGATTTAGTAAGTACGGTTATAATTTCCCTAATTGGGGGGGGGGGGGGTGGTATAAGTAGTTGTATGTATAACTAATTACCCTGATAATAACCTTGGTTACTAAGTCCCATGATCCTTCAAGTAATAGTCGATTTGGAGTTTCTGAGTTGCTAGGATTGCTGTCCCAGCAGAAGAGACATCTTAGTCAGAGATCCTTAGCAGCCTTAGCATGCACCAGAACCTCCCAAGTCCCCTTTAATAGAGCCCTTATGGCCTTTAATAGTGGGTATTTAAGGTATGTTAGAGGCGAGTTGGGGGGTCTAATCCCTAAACCCTAAACTCTAAACTCTAACCCTAAACCCTAAACCGTGGAGAGGGGAGTTGGGTGTCTTGGCAGTATCCGTACTTTATAACCCTGACCCACATAATATATACTTAGGCCTTAAAGTACACCCCTTTAAGGCTTAAGTATCTACTATTAAGGTACATGGAGCCTTTGGGAGGGATCCTTTAAAGGGATCTATAGGGTTTAGGGATTAGGGGTTAGGGTTCTGGTTTCAGGGTTTAGGGGTGTAGAGTTTTCTATAGGGGCCTTAATAAGGAGCCTTTGGATAACTCCAGCTCTGAGTTGATGTACCCAGAGCTTCCAAAACCCCTTAATTAAGGAATATACCTTAAAATCAGATTAGGGATCCTATTATATTTTAAGGTAAATTCCTTAATTAAGGGGTTTTGGAGGCTCTGGGAAGGAGCCTTTGGGTAACCCCAGCTCTGAGTTGATGTACGGGTGGCTTGAAGAGTCCCTGCTGGAGTTGCCCCGGCTCCGACGTTCTTACTGATTCAAGGCTTGGGCTTTGAGGGTTTAGGACTTAGGGTTTAGGGTTCAGGGCTTGGGGTTTGGGGGTTTTGGGCTTGGAGTTCAGGGTTCAGGGCTTGGGGTTTTGGGGTTTAGGGTTTAGGGTTTGAATCTGCTGGGGTGGTTGCCATTGTCCTTCTGGCTGTCTCTCTCTCTCTCTCTCTTTCTCTCGTTCTCTCCGTCTCTCTCTCGCTCGCTCTCCTTGTGTCTCTAACAGTCCCCCCAGGAGTGCTGGGTTACGACCTGGTGAATGAAGCTCGGCTGGAACCTTCCTAGCTTTGGGGTTGCCGGTTTCAGGCTTTGGTTTTAGGTCTTCTACGCCCCAGGTTTTGGCTTTGTGGAGCCCACCACGCTAAATCCTCAAGCACAACCCAAACCCGTAAACCTGGGTTGTCCTTTGGGATCTTGTTAAATTTCCCCTACTATTTTCTAGAGAACCATAGTAGTAAATGATATTCACAGGGCTTAGCGGATAACTCAGAAACCCGAAGACGCCCTCAAGCCCCGGGTTGGGCGTTCCGGATTTCAGGGTTTCGGATTTAGGAGGGGTTTAGGGCTTTGGGGCTTGGGGGTTGGTTTCGGATGTCGGATTTAGGATGTAGGGGGGTAGGGCTTTGGGGTTTGGGGTTCCGGGTTTAGGGTTGCGGAATTCGGGGGGCTGACATTGATTTTGAGGGCTTTGGCATTGAGGCTTTGAGTTTCTCCGAGTTTGAGGGGTTTAGGAGCTTAGGGTTTAGGAGCTTGAGGTTTAGGGTTTAGTAGGGCGATGGTGATTTCGGGTGTTTGGTTTTGTTAGAATTGGGGCTTGACTTGAATGCTGGACTATTGTGGCGCTTCTTCAAGTCTCACCGGTGTGCAGTATATGGGTTCAGCATTGCACCTAATTAATCGCCAACCCTGCAATGAGATCGAGGGACATGAACAGAATTGTGTTGTGAAAGGGGGCGGGCTTCCAGGTTGAAAGGGTGAGGCTTTAGGGCTTGAGGTGGTGCGGTGCTGAGCTCTGAGACTTCAGAAACGTGCGGCCCTGATTGGTCGTGAAAGTACTATTCCATCGGTCGGTGTTTGTATAATTTTGTAAACATACACTCTAAACTGAACATAGTCGAACATAGCATAGCATGTCGCCAACCCCCAAACCCACACCTCACATAATATAAAGGCCTCTGTACAAAGCTCACTGCTAGGGAGAAGCATGCGCATCCTCCATGCATTCTTGCATTTGGGGTGTGGGGTCTTGGGAGCTGTAAAACAGCATCAAGCCGCAGTAGTGCCAACAGGATTTCCAATGGTCTACACATGTGACTATGACGGTATCATGTCCAGCTGTGAAGGGCATGCCAGACCAATTGTGCCTTTGTAGTCCCGATGCAGTGCGCCAGACATTTTTTGTGATTGGCTCGCCGGGTTCGGCGGGGCCGGAGCAAAAAGGAACACCACCCGGCCCGGCCGGAAGGGTCGCCCCGGCCCAACTCACTGAGTGAGCGTAGGGCCGCGGGGCCGCAGCAAAAAAAACGCACCGTGAGTGAGGGAGCTTCCGGGCCCTACCTATAGTCTCCATTTTAGTTCCTTTTATTGGTTTAACCAAAATTATGTTAAGGATCCTCAAAGGTAACCCCAAAAAAGGAACTACAATAGAGACTATAGGTAGGGTGTGTTTGTTTTGCTCCGGCCCCAACGGGGCGAAACAAACAACAAGCACTCGGTACGCCCCGGGACGACAGCAAAAAAAGTTCTAGAAACCAGTGACACGGGGCACGAGCAAAAAGGGGCAACAACAACAGCAAAACAAAGACACCCTGGCCCTGGGGCTGCATTAGTTTTAACGTCTCTTGGCATGTATATCCCTAAGGTAAGGGTTCATGTACCCAGTACTATATGCTATATACTTTGTCCCCAAACTACCTATACAGGGACTGATAAGTTGGAAACTTTTGGGAACTTCACGACACGCACTCTCATACAAAGTCTGCTGGGCTCCTTAAACCAGCAAGAATCTGAAAGGTCCCCTTGGTCGATCCACCGCAAGCCCTAAACCCAAAGTGCCACTGCAAAAAAACCTTACCCCAAGGGTCCAAGTACCTAATAATCATACACTCTCCGAAATCCTAACCTACATCACTACTATCCGAAAACCGAGTACCTAATTATTGGGTCCTTTGGACCCTTGCAGATATTGCTACACACTTTCAAGACCCCACCAAAGAACCTTAAAGCGCAAACACATAACCTCAACCCCAAGCCCAGCCCCAGACCCCATGCAAGCCCTGAACCCTAAACTCTGAGCACCGGAAGACACCCTTTCCTATCTCCAAACCCTGATCTCCCCCAACCCCACCCACCCGCCCCCGATCTTACATCCTCAACCCGCATCCCTGCCGTCCTAAGGGAGCCGAAGACGACAATAAACAAGGAACCCTGAACCCTAAGCCCTGAAGTTGCCTGAGGGTGTAAGGACCGCTTTCCCTTGGAGGGATTCTGTCTATGCAGGCGGAAAAAGGCCTTCAACAAATCAAACATACACTAAACCCCAAACCCGAAACTCCAAACCCTAAACCCCAACCCCTAACCCTAAACTTGGCAAACCCTTATATAACCCTGTGCCCTAACCCTAAACCCTAAAATCCCTCTGTCCTGAAACCCTAAGGAGCCCTTGAATGGCGACTACTACACTGATGCCAAACTCTTCGAGCCCGGTGAGGTGGCTGGGGGGGCTTAGGGATTTTTTTTTTTTTTTTTTTTTTGGGGGGGGGGGGGGGGCTTTGGGGTTTAGGCTTTAGGGGGGCGAGGGATTTGGGGCTTTGGGGTTTAGGGTTGGTTTAGGGGGGGGGGGCGAGGGTTTTAGGGCTTTGGAGCTGAGGCTTTAGGGGGTTTAGGGTTATGTTCGTTGTCCCGTGTCTGTTCCTTCGCAGATTCGGTATCAGTACTGGTGTGATTGCAACTGACAGGTTTCGCTGCTTGTTGTTCTTACTTTTGTTCGTCATCGTCCTTGCTTTATAGTTTGGGCTGTTTTGTTCCAGCTTTACTTTGTACTCTTTGCTCCTGTTTAAAACTGTTGCAACAGGAGCGAACCCAAATGCTAAGCCGCCCCAAACCCGAAGTGCTACGGTTTTCGTTCGGATGCAAAAAAGATTGAAGACCCGACAGCCTTAAGTACTAAACCCCCAACCCCAAAAACCGTTGAAACAATGTGAAAGTTGTTTAACACCCTGCTTTGTTCAAAAGAATCCTTAACAGACAACCGAAACACTCCCAAAACTTTACGCCACCCCACTTCTCTTGAGAAAACCTGAAAGTTCCCTTGCAAACCCTCTGCAAGGCTAGCCCCCAACTCCAAACCCCAAACCCTAAACCCCTAAACCCCAAACCATAACACCCTAAAGCCCTAAGCCCCGCAACCCTAAACCCCAAAAAACCCTAAAACCCTAAACCCTTAAGCCCCAGCTAAACCCCAAAACCCTAAAACCCTAACACCCCTAAACCCCTAACCCTTAAACCGTATAGATCCCTTTAACGGAGCCCCCTATAAACCCTAAAGCCCAGTGCTTACGAAAGCCCCTATATGTGCCCGCGCTCCGCGTTCTCGACCCCCCCCCCCCCCCCCCCCCCCCCCCCCCCCCCCCCCCCCCAATGGTAACCCCCCCCCCCGACCCGGGCGACCACACAACAAGAACAAGAACAAGAACAAGAAGAAGAACAGCAGCAACAACAAAGCAGCAGCAACCACGCGGAGGAACCAGAGGAACCACAGGGGGGGAGGGGGGAGACAGGAACCAGAAGAACCACAAAAGGGAGGGGGAAAACCAAGAGGAACCACAGGGGGGGGGGGAACCACAGGAACCACAGGGGGGGGGAGGGGGATTACCATGGGGGGGGGAGGGGGGGGGGGGGGTGCGCGGATGCTGGCACATATAAACCCCCAAACCATAAATTCTAGATTCTAGAGCCCTACTGTAGATCCCTTATAGACCTCTTTAAGGAACCCTTTCAAGGAACCCTACTCCAAACCCCCAAACCCTAAAGCCCTAAACCTAAACTTCCGAACCCTACATTATAGAGCCTTACTATAGATCCCTTATAGAACCCTCTAAAGGAGCCCTAAAGCCCAGTGCTTTCGAAAGCCAGCAGCTGCAAAAAACCAGGCTGACCGGCGACTGTTGGAGCCCATGTACGCACCATGGCCTTAGGGTTGAGTGAGGATAGGGTTTAGGGTTTTAGGGTTTAGGGTTTAGGGTTTTAGGGGTTAGGGATGAGTGAGGATAGGGTTTGCCTTAACCCTGAATATCCTGCCTTTCTAGGGTTCCTGGTTCTGTTTTCTTTATAATAAGTGCCTAAAAGGGTAGGTTATTCCGGGTTAAGGTAAACCCTAAAACCCCCTAAACCCCTAGACCCTAAACCTAGGCCCTATAAACCCTAAAAGCTTTGGGGTTTTAGGGTTTAGGGTTTAGGGGCCTTGGGTTTCCCCAACGATCCAATAATTAGGTATTTGGGTTTAGGGTTTAGATTGGGTACTCAGTAGTTTGGTAGGTTTGTATTTCGGGAGGGTATATGACAATTACAAGTACGTCCTTGGACCCAGGGGGTTAGGTTTGGAAAATTAGGGGTACCTTAGGGTTCCTTTAAAGGGTTACTTTCAGGGTGCTGTAAGAGTTCCTAGGGTTCAGGGTTCTTAGCTGCCGGGTTCTTACAGCTTTTTTGGTGTTCTTTTTAACTAATACCAGTATTAATACAAATATTAGAACTAATATTAATGTTAATACTTATATTGGCCCACGGACACCCAAAATCAGGCCAGTTTGGCCTAGTGGTCGGAACTATGTTCTTGCAATCCTCGGTGCCTGTTTCGAACCCCGGTCCTGTCAGAGATTGCTGGTAGAACCTCAATGAAACCCTTAAGGGAAACCACTCAGATTCTGATTCGGCAGCTTCTCGGCTTCAGCTCGAACCCTCACATTACCCACAATCACAACATGGTGGCCCTGATCCCCATGAGACTCCGGCAGCGAACAGGGCAGTGGATCACCATCGGCTACTGGTTGGAGATTCCCTTCGAGGACGAAGTGGGAGGCCAGACGTGGCGATCCGACTGGACACCATTCACCCTTCTACACGACTTCCACCCACTCACCACCGACGGCAGATACCTGAAGCTCACCGCTGGTGGGACTCAGTAGTAATATTAAAACTAGTTATTTTAAATACTAATATCCAGTAGTAATATTAAAAGTAGTATTGTTATAAATACTAATATTAATACTAATACTATGGGAATTATGGTATATTCCTTATTATGGGTCATGCAGGATTTTATCCATCAACAGTGGGGGTTAGGGCCCCAAAGCTTCTGTGGTGTAGCGTTCTTAGGGTTTAGAAGTATAGGGCTCTTAAAGTCTTAGGGTTCAGGGAGTTTAAGGTTTAGGGCTCCTGGGGTTCTCCTGGGGTTTAGGGTTTTTTTTACGGTTTAGGGTTCTTTTTGTTAGGGTTTAGGGTTCTTTTTTTAGGGTTTAGGGTCTTTTTTTAGGGTTCAGGGTTCTTAGTGTATCGGAGTACAGGGTTTGGGGTTTGGAATGTAGGGTTGTTAGGCTTTTAGGGAGGGTGACTCCTTGTCACTCCTTGTCGCAAACAGAGCAGCGCCAATGAAGGAGCAGACAAAATGTTTTCGGTGCCAGCCCTAAACCCTAAACAAACCTCAAGAGCTCAATGCCCCAAACACTAAACCGGCAAAAACCCAAACCCCTAAACCCCAAACCCCTAAAAATCCTAAACCAACCTCAAGACCCTAAAGCCTGTAGTATCCAAGCTCAACATGAAGAGACGAGGTGAGCCTGAGCAAAGTCATCCGAGAGGCAGATCCGGAGGCAAGCGTGAACAAGGGCAAGATAGGGGACTTAACAAGTATGATAGGGTTCGGGGTGCTACCATTCTACAATTCTGGGGCAAAAAATGCCAATATAAGCAGAATTGGTTTATGGGCAGAATCCACCATTCTGTAATACTGCAGGGATGGGACCCTAATGTAGTACCCCAAATAGCATATTGAAAGGACTCCAAAATGAGGTACCCCCTTAATTTTCGGAAACTGCCATAAGGGGATGTTGTTACCTCTTATGCCGGCCTAGGGGAGAAAGTTTCCCAGAGAGCCCGATATTTGGCACGTAAGGAATTATCGCGTCTCGAACCATAGGATGCTTTAAAGCATATTTGAAGAAAGGAGCTCTAGATGCATATAATATACGCTTTGTTATAACATGTTTGAGTCTCTGTGTTGTCGCTTGAATTTGAGGTTTCAGGTTGTAAGGGTTGTGCACTTCGTGTTTCGGCATTTTCAAGGCTGATGGGTTTCAGGATTTTTATGCCACAGGTCTGTGGGTTCCAAGCTGAAAGTCTCAGCGCTTCTTCGGGTCTTAGATTGGACTTCCAGATGCTTGTAGCCGTTGTAGGTAACCACCAGAGCCACCGCGAGCACCATCACCACCACCGCCGTCTGTGTCGATGGTGATACGGTAGGTAAGGATGACGACAATGAGAATGACTCCGGCCAGCTGAGTTGACAACTGAAGGCTGTGATTCGCCTAGACCTCACAAGCCTCAAACTCCGAACCTTAAGCTGAAATGCTAGAAACTTAACCCCCCCGTGAAACCCTGAACCCTAAACCCCAAATGCTAAACCCTTGAGCCCTAAACCCGAAACCCTATAAACCCTAAACCCCAAACCTTAGAAACCCTAAACCCTAAATCCTGTAAGCCTTGTAAACCCCCACACCCTAAACCCCTGAACTTCAACAGGCCGTCCTCATGTACGAGCCAGCTCCGTTCCCGGCAGCCTGGATGGATGGCATTGCTTAGCTCCAACGTCATTATAAGACTGTAAACACAACTTTTCAACTTTTGTGTCTCTTGTAAGGTAGTCGATTCTGGAAGTTTCAATTTTTACTTCCTTGGGTTTTGGGCCATTGAGAAGAGTGGGTTCTTGTTAAGGGACTTCATTTAAGCTACCATAATACAGAAACCTTATTATTCAGTATAGATCCCTTTTCTGGTAGGTTAGATTAAATCCCCCCTTAACAAGAACCCAGCAGAAGATGCTTGAATGGGTCTTTTTGAAAAAGGCTCGGGGGGTTTCTTTTTCTAAGGGTTTGGGGTTTAGGGTGCGGGGTTTCAGGATTCAGGTGGTAAATGAGCTTCAAGGGCAGCTTTTTGCTTTAGGGTCTCGTATTGGGTGGTCCTTAAGCCTTATGGACCATACTATGTTGGGATATGTTTGGCATTTAAAGGTGCTCGTCACCATTTTCTGAAACTCCCGTAGGCAAGAACGGCTCCGTAACCCTGAGGGTCCATATAACGCAAGAGTGCCTTGCACATACAAACATACACATCCTTGCATCCATCCGTCCATCCATCCATCCATCCATCCCTCCCACCATCCATCCCTCCATCCATCCATCTTTGCATGCATGCATGCATGCATGCATGCACACAGATGTGTGTGTGTATATATATAAGTACAAATCGTAGTAGTTTGAAGATCTTCTCATTAAAGCTTCGACTGTAGAGGCATGTAACGCTGCATCGTTGGGTTGAGGAACCTCCCCCACTATTCTCTCACGGAGGATTTCTTAAACTATTTATCCCGTGTGCTACACGATTTTCATACTCAACAGGTCTAGGATTCGGGGTTGAGGGTGTTGGCTTCAACACGTAAACTCCATAATTATAATTTAGAAGCCTGAACAACTACCAGTATAAGTCCTATAAGGCTGCTTATTATAAGTATAGGGTTTAGGGTTTTAAGGTTTAGAGTTTAGGGCTTTGATTATTGACCCCTGTACTGAGCCTGCAGCGCTAGACTCGGCCCCAACAGTCGCAGTGTCTCGGAATGTGCTAATATAGCAAACCATTACCACTATTTTTCCCGAAGGTTCCTTACTAAAGTGTTATGGTACAGAGGCCTAACAGTCTTTACAAGGCCGCTACATTACTTGAGGCCTGGGGAAGCAGCAATTCTAGGACTGTAAGGCGTTTTAGGCTTCAAGATCCATAAACAAAGGCTACTTGGACCCTCAGGGCAAAGAGTCCTTAGGACACCATCCCGGCATACGTGCCCCTGGCGGGCGGCGTTCGCCCGGTCGGCTTCCAAACCGGACCCACTCCCGGAGAAGGAGAACGCCAGGCGCAGGGTTGCGGATCAGTGGTTTAGGATGTAGGTTCCTTTAAAGGGATCTATAAGGGCTCCTGTAAAGGGATCTATATAGGGTTTATAGGGTTTTTAGGGGTTTAGGGTTTTCCGATCCAGGGTTCAGGATGTTGGTTTTAGGGTTTGGGATTCAGGGTTTGGGTTGTAATTAATAATTCAACAGGTTTAACCCTTTTTGGGGCTAGGGTACTCAGCCTCGAAGTTTCGGAGACAGGGTTGGTTGTAGGTTTTGGGGTTTGGGATTCAGGGTTTGGGTTGTAATTAGGGTTCGGGAGTCGGGGGTTTGGGGTTTGGGGGCAAAGAAACAAACGACAGGGCGTTTGTGAAGGCTAATGAAGGTCAGGAAAGGGCTATAGTAAGGGATACATCGGTTTGGAAATCTGTTTTCTGTGGTGGTGGAGGGGCTGCGGATTCGCTGAAGTTTATGGTTTATATCCCCTGTAATTACGCCAAGCCCGGGTAAATCAGTATGAGGGTCTGGTGTTTGTGTTGCAGGTTTTCTATGCGTTATATATTTAGGATTGTATAAACAACGTGCGCAAACGGAGTTTATTTGTAGTTTACTGTACACCCGCTGGTATCTGTGCAGCATACGCCTTTGAGCGCCACGCATGCCCCACAGGTGCTGTCCTATCACATCTACTCTTGTGGCTTCGCCACGGACAAGTGCGACAGGACAGTCCCTCTTTTTGGGAGCAGCCTCTAGAAGTTTCCTGTATCCCCAAACCCTAATGTTGGATCCAGATTAACAACCCCCCCCCTCCCCCCCCCCGCTGTCAAGGTTAGCCCGCTTGAACTTGTTCATGGGTTCAAGTTTTTCCCGGCCCCCCCCCGATTATGTGGGGATGGGGTGAATTATTAAGTATAGTAGTAAGTAGATAGAGAGTACTTAGTAAAGTATTGCAGTCGTACAATAGGAGTACAGTAGTATAGTAGTAGTACAGTAGTATAGTACTAGTACAGTAGTATAGTAGTATTACAGTAGTATAGTAGTAGTACAGTAGTACAGTAGTACAGTAGTAGTACAGTAGTATAGTAGTAGTACAGTAGGGTTAAGTCATAAGCCTCTAAATCCCCTAAATCCTTACTTCGAGGATTTTCGGGGATGGCCCCGTCTAATCGGGGGGGGTTTAGGCGAGCTCCGGTACTATTAGGGTGGGGTCTAATGGACTTCTTCATTAAGCCCATGACATGCCCGGGACGGCCCCGTCTAATCTGGGGGGGTATCTTAATCTGGAAACGACATTACAAAACAGCAGGCGATGACCCTTATTGATTAGAGGGTCTAACTCTTAAGACAGTGGTTGGTTTTGGGTTTGAAAATTCCTTGGAGTTTTACAGCTCTTTTGGGACTTAACCTACAGTCTGGAGGGTTCTGGCCCTAACGCTGCTGCTTGCCGCTCGCCCTTCACCTAAACGCTCCGAAACGCCACAAAACGTACCCTGCAACCCGAAACCGGAAGCCTAAACCCAGAGGGTCCAAGTATTCCTTATATTAGGACTTTAGGGCCCTTCTCGGAATCAGAATCCATAAGTAAGGACTACTTGGACCCTCAGGGTAAATCTTAAACCCTATGAACCCCAAATAAGGACTTCTTTGGACCCTGGGGGGCAGGATTCAGCTTCATGATTTTGGGCTGGAGTCATGCTGCTGCCTTCAGGGCATCAGCTTTGGAGACCAACCTTGTAACCCTAAGGGTCCAACGGACGCAATCATTAGGTACTCGGTTGTAGGATAGTTATGTAGGTTACGATTTTGGAGAGTATCTGATTATTAGGTACTTGGACGCTTGGGGTAAGTGTTTGAGCCGGCTGTAATGTTGAATCCAAGCTCTTCAGCAGAGTACATAGCTGCAAAAAACAGGCTTCAAGTAGGATGTAGGCTGTTAGGGGCCTAAATGGCTTTTTGGGGAATTCTAGTCAAATGCTCCCCACCAGGTTGAATGATTAAGGCCCCGAGGGTAGGACTGCAGGGCGTCGGGTCTATTGTTTGGGCCTCAGTGGAATGCGCTTTCGAAAGTGCTTCTTTCTTTTCTCTTCTGCCTTTGATTGCACCGTGTGACTCGTCGGACCTATAGCTCTTGGCCGAGGTTTGTGGGTCAAGTTTCCTGCTTGGGGACGAAATGAACCCTAAGGTTCAAGCAGCATGCGATTCATAAATCTAGGGATCATAGCATAAGGGTTGCAGCGCCTCTACTTTCTAGGGCCATCTGTTTTTTGTTAAGGTGCTCAAGGCCTCTTGACCCAAGAGTTGAATATCCGTAGTCACTACTCTTAGGAGTTTGATTCGAGTTAGCATAGCATAGTAAGTAAACTATAGTCCTTAACTAGCTCCCATTATTGCGATGACTTGATCTAGGCTTCCTAACGTTTAGGGGTCGGTAGAACTACTTTTGCAATTCCTTACAGGCCGTACTTTAAGTTTACAACAGTATCCCTGCAAACCCTAGTCTAATTGTCAATGGTCCATGGTGGAACCCTTATAAACCCCTTCTAAGAAACCCTTCCTGCGACCCCATAGTAGGTTGTTCTTTGGATCCCAGGTAAACCCCTTACCCTGCAATTCCCTAAGGGTCCAGGTACTCATATAGTATGTACATTGGCCTTAATGTCGTCCCTATATAGGTACATTGGGGCTCATGTACCTCTATATGGGTACATGGACCCTTAGGGATTCAGAACTTCGGAGGAAAGGCGACCTGCCTTCTCCAGTCTGTGAAGAATGTGACCGCATGGCAGACTCGGCGGTGGCTGCTGGTCATGCAAAACAGGACGGCGTGGTCAGGTCTCGCACAGATGTCGACGTGCGTACCCGCATTCCCGCAGATGTACCGTTTCATATAGTAGATGTGTGTACTGTGGCGAAGATGCACATGCAAAATGTACATGAATGAGTGTTTGCAACTTATGTTTCTGTAGACACTCGAACATTTCATGCCTACACTTGTCAAAAACTTGCAGCAAGATCTTGGAGGGAGATCCCCGCCACGATGACAAGATGTCGCTGTCTACCTGCAGCAGAAAAGCATTGCATGTAGTGGATACTGCCCACCACTAATTTGGGGTCATGGGACCCGGGTTTCAAAGTGTCTTAATCCGATTCCTACATTTTGGTAGGGCTCATCGTGTCAAGATCCCAAAAAGGTCAGCATACTGCCTCGGTAGGGCTCATCAAACATTCCTAAACCTTAAACCCTATAGATCCTTTTAAAAACCCTCAAATGGGAGTTTTGGAGGCTCTGCCCCCCTGCCCAAAAGCCCCAACACGAGTTCTAAACCCCTAAAAAGCACCTAAACTTACAGATCCCACCCCGAAACCCCCAAAAACCCTACGCCCCCCCAAAAGCCCCCAAAAACAGCCCCAAGGCCACGCGCGAAGCCGATGCTCGGCGCCTTGGTGGCGCCGCGTTCCTCACGGAGCCTCGGTGTCCAAAACAGGGGCTCCCATAAGGGGATCTTATTTAGGGCTCCGCTTGTAAGGGCTCCTTTAAGGGATCCTATAAGGGATCCCATAAGGGCTCCTTAAAGGGGATCCTGTAATGGATCCCCAAAAGGGATCCTCCTTGAAGGGCTCCCTTAAAGGGATCCCTTAATGCGATCCTATAGGGGATGCTCCTTTAAGGGCTCCTGTATAGGGGATCCTATAAGGGATCCTCCTTTAAGGGCTCCTTTAGGGGTTGCTTTAAGGGTGCCCTTAAAGGGTTTTTCGGGTTTGAGGGTTCAGGCTATTGAGGCTTTGGGGTTCAGGCTTTCAAGGGCTTAGGCTAATTGGGCTTTCAAGGGTGTAGCATTCCTTTAAATTCAAAAAGGATTCCTTTGACGGGTTTCTTTCTACGGGTTCTTTGAAAGGGTCAATATAAGGATTCCTCACCGGATTCCTTCAGAGGGTTCACGGTGGTAGGCAAGGGCTTGGTGCTTTAAGTTTACAGAAGGGTTCAGGGTTAAGGGCTGGGTGGTACCGGTTTAGGGTTTGCGAGTTAGGGAATACCCTTCAGACAAGCGTAACCCTATAAACCCTTAACCCCCTAAAACGCTAAACGTCAGGTTAAAGCCCTACTCCCTAAACCGTAGCAGCCTAAGCCCATAGTAGGGAGCCCTAAGAAAGGTAGGCTCCTTAAGGTCCAGGTAGTGGAAACCCGAAACCTTCCAGGATGGAGGAGCCCGGTGCCTGCTCCCTGAATCCTAGACCCTAAACGTTACACCGAACCCTAAACCTCAACGCCGCAGAGCCTTAAAGCCCTAAAGCCGTAAACACCCTGAAGCCCGAACGCCCTAAAGCCTTAACCCTAAACCCCAGTTATAGAGTGTTTTTGGACCGTTATAGGAGCCCTTATAGAAGGACCCAGAACCCGAGCATCCTAAAGCCCTTCCAAAACCGGCTCGAGGAGTTTGGCGCTTGCTCGGGCACCCCCAATTGCCTCTCAGAAATCCACCGCGTTGCAGACGCTGGGATGGTTTCGGGCCCTAAACCCTACCTAGACCCCCGATAGTAGGCACAAAAAAATGGCCCAAAACCTAGGAAAGTATATTCTTCTACATACTTTTGGGGTCCAGGTAAACCCTAAACCTTTCGAGAGTTGTGTGCGGATTTCAGGGTTTGGGGTTTGGGGGCTTTGGACCATGAGGTCAGGGAGTTTGATATTAAAGCTTGGGGTAGGGTTTTCGGTTTAGGGTTACCTGGGCAATTGGGCCCTTAAAGCCAGGGTGCAGTGTAGACGAACCCGGGCCCTAACGCACCAAACTAAACCCCAATTAAACCGGGTCCTCAACCCAAAGTTGAAGGGTTGCATTGATCAGGATCTCACGTTTGTTACAAGGCGTCATGGGGTTGTAGAAGGCAGAGAACTGAATGTCCTGTAATTGATGAGCATGCCTGAAATTATATTGAAATTAACGGCATGATAAAATTGAGCCATATAAGCATTGGTATGATTTAAGGTATCACCGGAGGACGTCAGAGTAGGGATTTAGCAGCGGTCTGCAGGTGTTGGGGCTTCATGGCTACATGGCTTTAGGGCCATGTGCCGTTTGGCGGCTTTGGCTTCAAACTAACATAATGTCGTACACCACAACTGCTGAACGACACACCCCGAACCCGAAATCCTGTCTTCACACTAACCCTAAGGCTCCATGTACCCATATAGTATATACTTAGGCCTTAAAGTACCCATATGGGGACCATTTAAGGCTTAAGTATCTACTATAGAGGTACATGGAGCCTTTGGGTAAGCTAAGCGAAAGTAAGCGAAAGTCATGATGGGGAAGTCTAATGAGTCCCAACAGGCTCCTCGAACCATTGTTCATGCCCTTATACTATAGAGCCCTACTACAGATCCCGTATAGAGCCCGTTAAGGAACCCTTTAAAGGAACTTCTTAAGGCCCGTATATTAAGCGGCCTGAATTTGGATGCCCTTCTCAGTATCCCAGGAGAGGAAAGCACTGTCGGAATCTGGACCCTCAAAGGCTATGAGACAAGCCTCTATGGTGTGACAATGCAGGAAGGAACCCCAAGCCTAACCCCCGTAGCGCAAACCCTAAGTCCTAAGCCCCAAACCGCAAGTTTTAAGGTCTAAGCCCTAAACCCAGAGTTTTTTGGGGTTCCTCCATCGAAGGACATGGCCGACCGCGCCTTGCATTCTTGGGCCTACTGGGAGTTCAAGTACAACCATGTGCCCAGACTGAGTTTGGGGTTTAGGGTTTGGGGTATAGGATTGGATTAGCTCAAGCACAGCCATGCGCCCAGACTTCTTTCGAGCTGGTTTGGGGTCATCCCACGAGGCTTCGGGCTTTCGACTAGAGACGGTTATTAGGGACGGCTGCTTACCAACTTATGTGATCTAGGCTTAAGTTAAGACTTCAAGCTTCGGGTTTAGGGTTTCAATTGTCGGAAGTATTGTTAAGGATTCAACTTACCTTGGATTAGTAGGGAATGGAGGAATGGGGAAAATTGCAATTACAGTATGGTACTATTTCTACCATTCTTCCATCCCTACTAACCAAAGGAATCGGAATCCAGAGGGTCCATATACACTACCACTATGGAATTAGGTCCTCAAAACCATAGTAGTGCATATGGACCCTCTTGGGAATCAACCATCCGGGTTGCGGTTGCGACTTGCGAGTTTAGGGTTGTGTCTTCGCGGAGCCAGCCGAGAGTTTCGATGCAACGCTTCGAGTACTTCACTGACCTTTGGTTTGTAGGGAATGGAAGAATGGTAGTTATAGCAGTTATAATTGTACCCCATTCCTCCTTTCCCTACTAACCCAAGTTAAGTTTAGGGTTCCATGTGCCCAAATAGTATATACTTTGCCCCCCCCCCCCCAAAGTACCGAAATAGACACTACTTAGTAGTGACCACGTTAAGTATATACTTTGTGGATACACGGATCCTGAGGGTATAGGTTTCAAGGTCATTCTCCATGTCTGCATTAAGAAGGCCACAGTATTTACTGTTTGGGTGCATGGACGCTTACAGAAACCCTCAAGGAAAACCGTTAAAGGAACCCTCAAAGAAAGCCTTTAAAGGAACCCTTAACAAAAACCAGGGTTCGGGTTCCCTTATGCCACCCTTTACCCCAAAAAGGGCACCCTTTTTATTCCTAGGTTACTCTTAGGTCTAGTCTTCTGTGGTGCATGTTTCCATGAAGCAGGGTCTGGACCTGCTCAGCGGAGAAGGGGCTACTGCATCGTACTAGTGGAATATACAGAATATACCACCCAAAATCTAATGTTTATGAAAAAGGCCCCTATTAAAGAATAGTGTGCGAATTTGAGACTGGGCCAACAAAATCCTACAGAAGCCGATGAAAATCCTGCACACCGAAGCTATGTAAAGCGCTTTCCAATTAGTTCGGCAAGTTGTTAGACGCCAAGCCTTCAAACTTCTCCTGGAACCTTGATCGAGCTTTAGAGCACCCTTAGAGCCTTAGAGGAACCTATAGGGGCCCTGTAGTGCTTCAATGTGCTTAAGTCTTCAAGTTGAGCCCTCAACCCTGAACCCCTAAACCCTAGCCCTAAACCCCTAAACCCTAAACCCCTAAACCCCTAAACCCCTAACCCCTAATCCCTAAAACGGCACGGCTTCGGGTGGTGCGCCGTCGCTCCCAGGACATCACCACAGTGGCGGGTCCTGAGGCTGGGGAAGAGTTAGGATTCGGAGGATGCCTCAGGGCCTTTTAAGGGTGCCTACCTGGACCCTAAGGAACCTACCCTTTTTAGGGTTCCCTAATATGATTTCCTTATAGAAGTCCTAAGAAACCTACCTTTTTAGGATTTTTTAGGGTTCCCTAGTATGATTTCCTTATATAAGTTTTGAAAAAGGTAGGTACCTTGGGGTTAAGGTAGGGCTTCTTAGGGTAATTCTGTAGGTTTGGCAGAAGGTTTTACAGGTTGGCTTTTCGGCTTTTGGAGGGTTTGTCAGTTTTACAGCATTTTGTGCTTTCATGATGTTCCACCTTCACACTGTCGCTTTCAGTGTTGTTCGACTGTTCTGTATTTTGCAGAATGTTTCTAGCTAGGTGAGGAGAATGGGGCTTGGGAAGTTTAGGGTTACGGCCAAACCCTAAACCCTAAACCCTAAACCCTAATTTACTTCCCAGACCCCCAGATCCCCTAATTCGGGGCCCTCTACTACTACGGGTACTTTATAGGAAACCCCATTAAGAGAACTTGGCAGATGCTCGATAGTTGTGACCCTCCGTATGCTCCTCAGAGCCTCCAAAACCCTTAATTAATTAAGGAATATTCCTTAAATTATAATAGGAGCGATAATATAATTTTAAGGTATATTCCTTAATTAAGGTGTTTTGGAGTCCCCTAAACCCTAAACCCTATAGATCCCTTATAGATCCCTTTAGGGAACCCTAGGTAGATTCCTTAATTAAGGGGGTTTTGGAGGCTCTGGGTCTTCAGAGATCAGACCGAGCCGGTGCCCTGCTTTTTTCGGCGCCTTTCACAGGTTCAAGCTGGCAAACCTTCTTCGGATTGCAGTTAGGGGTTTAGGTTTTAGGGTTTAGGGTTTAGGGCTAGGGTTTAGGGGTTTAGGGGTTAGGGTTTAGGGCTAGCGTTTATGGGTTTAGGGGTTAGGGGTTTTGGGTTTAGGGGTTTAGGGTTTAGTCTTTAGGGCTTAGGCGTGTTTAGGTTTAGGGTTTAGGGTCGTCTCTTTGATCGCAGGCCTCATGGACAGTGCCGCTCGCTGGCTACTCCAGACACGACATCGCGGTCCACGGCTTCCTGGCTTACTACCTCTACTGCTACACGTCGCAGACAGCCAGGCTCGATTCGGTCGGAACTGGGATCGGTTCGCCTTGGCAACCACAACCATCAAAGACGGCTGTGCTGGGAGCCAAAGCTGATACAGGAAATCTCAATCGAGAGGCATTCCCAGAGCGGGTTTGGCATTTACTGGAACTCCTGAGAGCACTTGACGGGCCACCGCACGTACATGCGCTGCCGCCTGGTGACGGAGCCGGAAGAGTTTTCCATGGCCCGGCTTCCAGGGAGTCCCTTGGAACACGTAGAGCTTTAAATCCTGAGACTGAACACCATTCAAGTGTGAGCTTAAGCCCACTACTCCTACGGCTCCATGTACCTCTAAAGCAAAAACTTATAGGAATTAACATAGGACTCCTGTATGCCCGAAGTATATACTTGTCAGGTACATGGGAGCCCATACCTTAACCCTAAGCTCCATGGTTAGAGTAGAGCAGCAAGCTTTTGTACAAACGCAATTTTTGTAGCTTCCTGACAGCAGGAAGCGAGAGCCATGAAACATGCCAGGCTTTAGCCGAAACCCTGAACCCTGAGTTATAATGTGCCGTAAATCAAAAACGCTACTGTACCCCAAACCGTACTCTGCCCTCAACCCTTATGCACCCTAAACATCCCCAAACCCCAATGCGCGCGAAACCCAAAGGGCCCGAAAAGCCCACTGAACCCTGTAACCCCTAAAGCGCTGAAGCCCTAAGCCCTAAGCCCGAAATACCCCTAAACCCTAAGCCCTAAAGCCTCAACCCCTAAAGCCCCAAGCCATTTCCCGATGATCGAAGCAATGTAGTTCTAGTCTTGAAACCCAATGATAGAACCCTTCCATGAATCAAACCCTATAAACCCTATTATCCCTCTAGGCCCTATAAACCCTATAAGCCCTGCAAACCGTAACATAGGCGCCTCAACAATTAGAATAGGGTTTTGGGGCCCGGAATACTATAAATATAAGATGAAGCCCCCCCAAAAAATCTCGCACAGGTAGTACAGGTAATTCTTTAGGTCCCTATAGTACACCTATAATACCCCTTATAGTCATCCTTATCAAAGGAACCCTTAAAGGAACCCTATATTTATTCAGGCCCCTATAGTACACCCCTAAACCCCTATATGGGAGTTTCCGAAAATTAGGGGTACCCTATTTTAGTGTCTTTTAGTAAGGAACCTACTATTTATGGTCGTATGTTGGGGCCCCCTATTTTCGGAAACTCCCATATTGAAGCCCCTGACCAGGAGGGATTCTATGACCTCCAGGGCAGCCTACAGGTTCCCAAGGCAATGTGTCCTTTCGTTTTCCCAGAGGGTCCAAGTACCCAAATAGTAGGGTTTTAGGTCCCAAAATCCATACCCTGAATGGTTTTTGGACCCTGAAACCCTACTATTTGGGTACTTGGACCCTTAGGGTTTGTTGTCTGGAGAAAGGTGGGGTTAAGGGGTTTAGAGTTTGGGGTTTGGGGGCTTGGGGGTGTAGGGTTTGGGGCTTAGGGCCTTAGGGGTTTTAGATTTAGGGGTTCAGCGTTTGTTGAGGGTTTATGGTTAAGGTTCTCTTGTTTGGGGTTTAGCGGTTGGGTTTAGGGTTTAGGGAGTAGTGTAGAGGGCGGCGGTGGGGGTGCGGGTGGGTCGGGAAAGGTTCTAGGAGTTGGGGTTCCGAGCGATTGGGGGCTTCAGGAAGTAAGCCCTTATTCCTTTTTTGGGGGGTTTAGGTTCCCTTATAATATTCTTTTTCCAGAAAACGGCACCCTTTTTGATCCTAGGTTACTCGTGGGTCTAGGTAAATTAAGGATTTGAGCCCGCGTGGTCCGTGTAGCCACAGAGTACAGACTGTGGCCTCAAAGTTGCAGTCTATAGGACCCCGTTTTGCAAACCTGGATGTAGACTTTAGAGGTATTTAGACTTTATACAGCCTTACCGTACACTCTCTAGAAGCTTCAAAAAGCAATAAGACCCTTGCACTCCTGAGTGGAAAGCAGTCCTGGAATAGAACCCTTGGGGTACATGAGGTCGCGGGTGCGGGGTCTGAAAGTTTCGGGCTTCGAGTTGGTGTTTTGGGTTTTGGCTTCGGGCTAAGAGTTGGATTCTGGGATTTCAATGTTTGTGAGTAAGATTCTGGTTCGTAGTGTGTGTGTGTGTGTGTTTGTGCGTAGGGTTTCGGATCTAGTGTTGGTGGTGTGATTCACCGTGGGAAGATTTTACCGGCTTGCCGTGAGTGCTACGGGGATTTAATGATATGGTTTTGAAGAACTCTATGCTTGAATTGAATTCTGGAGTCCCTTAGCCTTATAACCTATACAGTAGAGCTACTCTCGAGAAAGTGCTCGAGGACCGTCCCTACCTACCGACATACCTGCACACATACATGGATACATGCTTGCATGCATGCATATTTTCCGTGGATCTCCATCCCTACACCCTGCGCCCTGCATACGTAAACGCTCGTTCAAGTGTCGTAGCCTTCTCGGCTGTCGGTGTTCATATAGGGGCCTTGCTTTAATGGAACAGAGTTGTATAATAGACTCCATGCAATTGTAACAGGGTGTCGGGGTTCGTGAAACTTTGATTGTATTATGGTTAAGTGACATTATATACTTAACTGGAGCAGTATTGGGAATGACACAGGCTTCCGCTGGACTCTCCCGGCAATGCTCAGGGTTAAGCATCAGGTTTTAGGCTACAGGGTTGTCGGGAACGTTTTCATAAGATGTAGGGTTCAGAGTTTTACGGTTCCAGGGTTTAGGGCAGTGGGCTGTGCTGCTTTAGGTCATAAGGTTACCGGATTTTGCTCTGCCCTTGTCGGCTAAAGAACTTGATTCGAGGTAACCGAACAACTTAGTAGCTGAGTGGATACACTTTACACTTTTGGGATAATATTACCCACCATACTGAAAGTGTACACTTTGGGGGGCTTATGAACTCACCAACTAAGACAGCGACACGACGACCGCGACGAGAGTTTCTTATAGGATCCTAACCGTAAAATTGGTTAACCCCAAAAAAGGAACTACAATGGAGACTATAGGTAGCCAATTTGCCCAAACCCTAAACCCTAAACCCCACTTTGCACTCCCATGCGAAGTTTGTGTCTGAAGGTGGCAGCACTTTCCCGGACCTATGCTGCCCGGCAGATTCGGGTGCATAAATCTATGAAGATGGATTTACTTTGTTGTTGTTCATCTTTCCTTTATGTTTAGGACCAGCGATTTTCAGGGCCTGGTCGTTTTCTAGCGAGGTTTAGGGCGCTTCTTTGTGTGGAGGGTATGGGATTAAGGGCTTCCCGGTGCTTTTATGGGGACCTAAGCATTTTTTTTAGTGAGGTCTTCCGTGGCTCTTTTTGGTGTAAGGGCTCGGTGCAGCTACCCCAACTGAACCCTACGATTATTGGGGTCGTGGACCCGGGCAGGTATGAAGGAGTTCTCCAATTCTGTCCGGCCTTTGCGTTGCATGTGGCTGTAGGTGCGGCACATAGGCTTCCGTTGGCTTGTGAACTGAATGGGCTGGTTTCGTTCATCTGGGCAACCCCAATGTATGAAGACACAGAGGACTTGTAGTGACTTCCAGGAACCCTTTAGATCCCTTTAAAAGGACATTAGAATCTACAATAAGTTCATTCCACCCTAAACCGAAACCCACCTTATTGAGGTATGTCCCTATAGAACCCTTCTATAGATGCCTTTACGGTAGATTCCTTAATTAAGGGACACTCTGGGAACCCTAAACCCCTACACCCTAAACCCTATAGGTCCCTCATAGGAACCCCTTAGGGGGAACCGTTATAGGAACCCTTACGTAATGGAACCGTTATAGGAACCCTGAAAGGAACCGTTCTTGATCCTAAACCCTAAACCCCTAAACCCCTTTGAAGGAACCCTTGTAGGAACCTTTAAGCAACCCTGATAGATCCCCTTAAAGGAAGTTTTAAAGGAACCGTTAGGGGATCCCTTTGAAGGAAGTCTCTCAGAGCCGAGGCACCTCTCGTCGCAGGCCGCACGACCTCCCTGCGCTACGACGCCTCCTCCGGTGCTTTTCGCCTGACCTACGCGGCTTGGCGGCGTTTGGGTCAGGGTTCAGGGTTTAGGGATTTGGGGGTGTGGGGTTTTCTATCAAGGGTATACTATAACGGGTTCCATTAAGGGCTCTGCAAGGATATAGTAGGCCTTGTGTAGGGTTTCCTTTTAAGGGCGCTACCAGTTCCTTTAAGGGTTCTGTAAGGATATAATAGGCCTTGAGGGTTTAGGGTTGAGGGCTTTGGGGTCTCGGGTTCCGGAGTTCGGGGTGTACCCCTTAACCCCAAATAACTTACCCGTTAAGGACGTATATAAAGAAAATTTCTTTGGGAACCCTAAAAGGTAGCTTCTTCGTGGTCCAGGTCGGGTTTAGGACCAGCGTAGGCTTTAGGAAACCAGCCTTCAGGGTCTTGAGGCTTTGAGGAGGGTCTCTTTGCCCTTCGACTCTTCGGTTTGTAAAGAGAGGTTCAAGGCTTTCGGGTTTAGGGCTTTCCCTAAGGGTCCATGTACCTAGAGATACATGGTCCCCAAAGTACCTATACAGGGACTGCATTAAGGCCAATGCATATACTATATGAGTACATGGACCCTCAGGGTTAGGGAGATTATGACGATGGCTAGCAGTATTTAATCTATTGTCGCATTGAACACTGTACTGTCAAACCCAATCCCTCCTTCCCAAGCCATGTCTCGCCCATGCCCCTGCTACAGGGGCCTTAAGAATTAAGAATTACCTATACTATTTTGGGGGGTTCCTTGTTATAGGTACCGACGTGCTGTTCCTATAGTATAGAACCCTACTATAGATTATAGGTATAAGTGTTGTATAACCCCATAGTAGTTCTTAAGGCCCCTATACCACTAATTACCCCCCCCCAAAACCCGAAGCCCCAAACCACAAAAGCACGAGACTTCGGCCAGGGATCTCGGAATTGCGGGGCAGGTCCTGGTCTGCCCCGAATTTCACGAAAATTAGGGGGCACCTTCAACGGGATCTATAAGGGTTCCTTAAAGGGTTCCTATAGGGGATCTATAGGGTTTAGGGTTTAGAGTTTCCGAAAATTTAGGGGATACCTCATTTTGGGGTCCTTATAATAAGGATCCTGCTATCTAGGTTACTCTATCAGGGTCATTTTCGGAAACTCCAAAACGAATAACATCAAAACCGGTACCTTTGATTAAGGGAGACAGGGGCACCTGGTTTCTGGAAGAGACCTTAGAAGGTGCCCCCACACTGTAATAGTGGTATAATAGGAATATAATAGGGCCCATAATCCTTATAGTCATCATTACAGGTTGGGGGCAGCTTCGAAAGGAGACCTCGTGGCGAATATTAACCCGGAGGCCTTAACGCTAGAGGCTAAACTCTAAACAGTTACTAGACCCCTGAATGTAGCACCTTTGTTTGGGCACTTTGCTGGTTACCCGAGTGTCTTATCATAGGGTCCTAACCGTAAAATAAGTGATCCAATACACAGTACTAAAACGAAGGGTGCAGGTAAACTCAAGCCATGCAAAGTTCAGTTAACGTGCGCTGCACGGCATGCCAGCCCCTAAGGGTCCAAGTACTTATCAGTAGAGTAACCTACATTACTACGATCTTAAACTCTAAACCCCAAACCCCCTTGGGGAACCTAGACGAAGCAGAGGTACCTGAGGAGAGCACACACGGCCTGAAGACGGAGATCTATTACAACGAGAGCTTCGTCCAAAAGCCGTTTAGTTGTCACGTTTTTTGGGGGCAGACTTTGTTGTTGTAGTTGTTGCCTGTATTGGTGGAGGGGGTCAGGCTCCCCCATTTAGATTAACAGTTTCGGAATGTGAAGATGTCGTTCCGTTTTCTTCAGCCAACCGCCGGGGTGTTCAGGCACCAATATGTACGGGTGGACCAACATTGGTTGGCTTTGGCCACGAAATATTGATGGCAGTGCAACATATACTCACATCCCAACACTGGAAGGACTTCTCCCTAAACCCAGAGCCCAAACACCTTATCCATCTTATTTGGCATGCATGCCGTCATGCTCCCGATGTCTCCGAGCTCCTGCATGTTCTTACCTTTGGTTAGTAGGGAATGGAAGAATGGTAGTAATAGTAGTTATAAGTGTACCCCATTCCTCCATTCCCTACTAACCAAAGATAAGTGTTTGTTTGTGCACCGTCTCGGGCAGCGTGAGACGCCTTTTGCACAGCGTTCAGGGTGTCTGTACATGTATTTATATATATATATATATATACACATACATACATACATACGTACATACATACATATATGGATGGTCGTCAAAAATTAGGGCCCATTTTGGGTACTCTAAATATTAGGTGCCGTACTATAATAAGGACCCAAAAAGGGACCCTAATTTTGACAACCACCCATATGTTTATGTGTATACGTATGTACATGTGTGTATATTCGCAAATGTATAACAACAGTACATATGTAGATACACATGTATATGCATATACACACACACAGACACACGCTCCCGCAAATACACGTTTGTTTTCTGCAAAGACACGCGCACACATGCACACAGCCACGTATACACCTACGCTAGGTGCTCAGTAGCCCTTCCCCGAAGAAGGCTAGCTAGCTCCTTCCTGAAGGGCTCGTACTCATAGTGAAGGTAGCCCTGAACCCTAAACTATAGACTCTAACCCCAAATGACAGTTATCCCCCAACCGTAAACCCAAGCCTCTAACCCTATAGCAAACCCTTAAACCCTCCCCCAAGGGTCCAAGTACCTAAAAATCATGTACTGTGTTCTCCCAAATCGTAACCTACATAACTACAATGCTTTCCAACCGAGTACTTAATTATTGGGTCCTTCGGGCCCTTAGGGTTACACCCTCGTCATGAAAGGAAGCTCAACTACCCTTCCGGCGCCGAAGTCCATGTCCACGGTGGATCCTCCAAAGCAGTCGGAAAGAACCGAGTGGAGGCCACTGAAGGGTTTACGGCTTTAGGGTTTTAGGGTTTTAGGGTTTAGGGTTTAGGGTTTTAGGGTTTTAGGGTTTAGGGTGGCATTCTACCCTAATTGTAATACTTTGCGGTATTTTTTTTGACTGGAAACTCAGCGAAGCCGTACAACACCGAAGACCTAGGCCCTACGACAAACCCGCGGCAACCGAAACCAAGCAGCCTCCCGACTATGCGGCTTCAAACTCCGTCGGCAAAACCGCCAGCCGTGCCGCTGGTCTTTAAAATCCATACTTTGGGGTACCATACTCTAATACTTTTTGGGGACTTGTTACTGAAAGGGAACCATTATGAAATTCAAGTCTATACTTTTTTCTCCCTGGTTACCTCAAAGCCCAGAATAAGGAGCCCGCAAAACCCTACCCTCTAAATTGTTATCAAGCCCCCTGCAAAGGTTCAGGTTCGGGGCTTTAGGGTTTAGGGGCGTTGGGGTGGGAATTTTTCAGTAATACGGTTGATGATATAAATCCTGCATGACCCATTATAAGGAATATACCATAATTCCCATAGTATAGGGCCCTTAAGGTAATGCAGGATTTATATCATCAACCGTATCATCTGTTATGCCCGAGCGTAAGCGCCGGAATGTCTCCAATCTCCGATCTATTCAGCTGCCGGAGTGCGGTGGCAGGTGATTTGGACAAGCCGAGGTCAATAGTTCACAGGGGGCCTCACCAAAATGTGGCTGTTGTCAAAATTAGGGTCCCTTTAGGGGTACCTTAAATAGTAGGTGCCGTATTATATCAAGGACCCAGAAAGGGACCATAGTTTTGACAACCACCCGTTTGTTAGAATGCGGGGTTTCTATCCCTCAGGCTCAAATAGCCCAAAAGCCTGATATGGTATGGTCTTTGGGACCAGGAGCCTTAAACTATGAGTCCTTAGAGCCTAAGGGCATATTAGGAATTACTGTTTTGATTTGGGGAAGTATCCCCATAACAGTACTTATGACCCTTTGGGATCCTAATCCTTGAAGACCCCGTGGTCTAGTCCTGCCGTGTCCTGACGAGGTCACGGCAGATGTGCCCGCAGGCACTGGTCATCAAGTCGGGCTCAACTCAGGGCTCTTTAGCTACCAATACTATGTTGGGCGGCTCCTTATTATAACTATAGTAAAATGGACCCCAAAACCCTATTCTAATTAGTAAGTTGTAATGATTCAATGAACACAACAAAGGTGTCCGGGGTTGGGGTTTAGGGGTCAGGTGTTCGTGGTTAATGGCTTAAGTTTGGGCTTTTGGCTTTAGGGTTTTCGTGTCTAAGAGTTGGATTCCGGGTATAGAACCCCAAACCCTAAACGCTAAACCCCAAGACATCATTCAGTTGGAGACTTCGGTCAAACTGTTACTTACTAGGAATTTCAGGGCATTGGCAGAGTGCTTGGGGTGATTTAGGGTTGAGCGTTTCCCAGATCCTCCAATGTCCCAAACTTAAAAGGAATACAAACCCTCAACTCATAATCTATATCTGGTTGTACATATGTACGCGTGGTTTTATACCATTACATATACATTTTGTACATATATATATATACATATATATATATATATATGTGTGTGTGTGCTCATTCCCCAACTATTGAAAGAATCGGGATGCTTTCGGCTGCACTCGGGGTTCAAGCTTGCCTACTTCCAGGCTTATGTGTAGCTGGAAATTGAAAAACAAGCTCGGTAAGCCGTAGTAGGGAGCTCATAACCGCACTCATAGCTACCCATGAACCAATGAACCTCCAAGCAGGGTACTGTAGTTCTTATATGTTCTGATAGGTCAACCTTTGGTCCACTTACTTGAGCCGTAGTTCAAGTACTTAAAGGGTCATGGGACTTAGTAACTGAGGGTTGCGAATAGGGTAATTATGCTTATAACCCCAATTATGGTACTTATAAGCTTACTTACTAAGTCCCATGGTCCTCCAAGTAGTCTCTAGGTACTGTGGGGCCAATGCAAGTCTTATTTGCCACATGGACCCTTGGGGCTAGCATGTTGGACAGGAAGGTTCTGTGGCGGAGGGAACATTGCTTGTGCTTAGTGACTTTGTGGGTGGGTGGATTGGCGGAGGAGGTTTCCCATGCCCTCGGGATCAAAATAGCCCAGAACCCTTATATAGTATGGTCTTCGGGCCCAAAACCCTTAACATTTGAGTCTTTAGAGCCTTAGGGATATACAAGCCTCCAAGCCCTACCCTAGAAGGGAAAGCCCCAACCTCATCCCCTAAACCCGCCACATAAAACCCTATTCGCCCCATTGCCCCAAGAGTCCAAGTGCCTAATAACCATAGACTCTCCAAAATCGGAACCTACATAACTACTATCCTAAAACCAAGTACCCAATTATTGGGTCCTTCGGACCCCTATAATTAAGGCCATCTTCGGAGACCTCCCCCAAGCCCTAAACCCCCAGTATCTACAAGGGATCTATAGGGTTTAGGGTTTAGGGGACTCTAAGATCCCTTAATTAATTGAGGAATATAATTTGAAACGCTGCGCGTCGTCCGCCTCGGCCCGGCTGTACGCGCATGCGGCGAGTGGCTACTATCTGCAGCAAGCTCTTGTAGGAAAAAAGTAACAGTTGGAATCGCACTTATAGTAAAAGTAATGTTCATAGCAACACGAAGCAGGATGATTGTGAGTAGTATTACTAGTGGTAGTATCAGTAAGAATTTTGGTGTCGTCATTCCGAAACACTGGATACCAAGACTCTCGCAAGCGGCGGGATGCCTTAAGTAAGGGCCGTTGAGGCTGGCTGGGGTTTAGGGGCCCCCAACAAGTAAAGATGCTACATTACAGTCCCCTGTCGTCGGAAACTCTCACCGTGTTGCAAGCCTTGGCGCCCTTTGGCCCAAACACCCGACTGCAGGGAGTGAGCATAAAGAATCGGGAAAGCGGGAAGGCAGGCGGGCAGGGAGTGAGCATAATGAATCGGGAAAGCGGTGGGAAGAGGAAACAGGGAGAGGGAGGGGGGCGGGGGGGGTGAAGGGGTGGGAGGCACGGGGTGGGGTGGCGCGGAAGTCACTGGAGAGGGGATTGGAGGTGGGGAATAGAGGGAATCCGAATAGGAACCTCTGACCGCTTCGGCCGGGGCCGAAGCGAATTGAATCATACATTATGGACCACTACTATATATTCCTTAATTAACCCTAAGGGTCCATGTACTCATACAGTATGTGCATTGGCCTTAATGTAGTCCCTATATAGGTACTCTGGGGCCCATGTATCTCTTATATGGGTACATGGACCCTTAGGGTAACGGACATTGGAGTCTCTGGGAGTCTTGTGGCAGGTGCATTGGTTGACGTGGCGCTGGCACGACCGTCGTTCCTGGGCGATGGTCAATTCCGCTCTGCCGGAGGCATCGTGCAACGCATAATATCAGTTCTACAGGGATTTCGCATAATTACTGGAGTATGTATGGATTGTGACCGTGCATATATGTATCTCGCATCTGCATGTCTATATCAGTGTGTACGTTTTTTTTATTGTTTCGGTCGCAGTGTTTAGAAGGTTTTATCATGGGGTGGAGTGATAGGGTTTATACAGAGCTTTATAAAGGTACCACTCGGGTGCTATAGGGTGTTTGCGGTAGTATAAGATTTTGTGGGATCGTGCGGTTCAGCTGTATCAGGCCATCGCGGGCCTTCTGGCTTCACTCAACCTCTTTAGTATTTAGGGTTCCACTTTCCCTGTAAGAGACCAGGGTACCATCACCCGGTTTAGGGGTTTAGGGGCTTTGGGTTTACGGTTTAGGGTTTAGGGAGGTTTAGGGGCTTCGGGTTTAGGGTTTAGGGTCCTCTGTAGGAGCCTGATTAAGAAACCTTGGGCTTGTAATCGGGGTTATGGGTGTCGTAGTATCCCTTCGCAGTCGCTGTGCAATATGCCGTAATGTACCCCCATCCCTGTGCGACTTGTTAAAGGCTTACTCACGTCTTTAAAAAGGCCTGCATCCTTCACTCTACAAGACCAGTAGCTGATCAGTTAAACCCGAATGAAGGAACCTGATTAAGAAACCTTGGGCTGTAATTAGGGTTCCTTGCATGAACCCTTATAGACCCCTTTAAAGGAACCCCAAACCCCAAAATCCCAGCAGCTGCTCGGAGGTGGCTTGGTGCAGTGGAAAGCAGAATCGGCGAACACCACGTCGCCTCCGGCTCTGCAACAGTACATTTATCCTTGTTCAAGTTCATGGTCGCATTATGTACTGTCTAAAAACTTCCATACAGAACTACTGTCCCAACCTATTGCCCCAAAAACTGCCCTGCGCAAGAACTGTCCTGAACCCAAGACCCCAGTCATGAAGTCTTTTCAGCCGTCAGGGTAAGAAAGCATCTACCTATACAGGGTGTACTTTGACCTAACCCTTAAACCCTAAACCCCTAAACTCTATAAACCCTAAACAACCTAAAGCTAAAGGAGCGTTCAGGGGAAGCCCTATATTATATCATATGCAAGGCCAAAGTATCTCGCACAGAATCGGTACATGAACCTTCAGGGGTAGACATCCTTCCAGGGTCAGCCCTTCTGGGGTACACTTGGGGTAGCCCTATAGATGAAGTGCTTTACAACAAGATTGAAGGGTTTAGGGTTTAGGGTAATTGAGGTAGCGCTATAGATATACTTGTAGTGCTTTACAACAAGATTGAAGGGTTTAGGATGTAGAGTATCAAGCCAGAAGTCTAATACCTGATAGAGCTCTCAAATGAAACTCCTTCTGCACCCTAAACCCTACACCTTAAACCCTAGACGCTAAACCCCAAACCCTAATCAGGTTCGAGCTGTCCACTGCCAGCAGCGTCACCTGGTGGAAGGGTCTCAAGGCTCGTGCATAGGGTTTAGGTTTTGGGTTTAGGGTTTAGGGTTAGGGTTTGGGGTTTGGGGTTTAGGTTTTAGGGTTAGGGTTTGGGTTTGGGGTTTAGGGTTTAGGGTTCAGGGTTTGGGTTAGGGTTTAGGGTTCAGGGTTTAGGAGTTTAGGGTTTAGGGTTAGGGTTTAGGGTTTAGGGTGTCCACGAACCCCCATCAAAGTTCTCTTCGTCGCTCTAGCACTTAGGAATTGGGTGCGGCGCCTTAAGCCCTAACCCCCCCCAAATGCCTTAAAGGTCATTTCGGATCTTGGCGAGACCGTCTGCGACCTGCACATGCAGGAGACAGCCTGGAGCTTTAGTGCACTTGGGAATTCGGCCATGCGGATTGTAATTCAACTTCAGTTGAAAGACCAGTGGATCCCATTAAGGATGATTAGTGCTGGGATTTCCTGTGCTTTGCCTTAAAAGGGCATGAGGGTCATGATGTTGCAACTTATCGGATTCTGCTGTAATGCTTTTTTCTAATGTTGCCCTAAGGGTCCATGCACTCATATAGTATATACCTTGGCCTTAATGTAGTCCCTATATAGGTACTTTGGGGCCCATGTATCTCTACATGGGTACACGGACCCTTAGGGTTGGTTCTCCGAGATCAGACAGGGGAATCGCCTGCGCGCTTCTGGAGATGAGGGTGCTCGGCATTGAGGCTGCAGCGCTTTTACGGTTTCGAAGGTAGCTTAGACGCAAACCCTAGGGACCCCCCCCCCCCCCCCCCCCAGCTCAACACGCTAGAGCCCGAAAGCTCCACATCCAAATCCCGAACACACTCAAACCAGAAAATCTCATGCCCCCAAAATCCGAAACTGACGCTTCGCCTCTGAGAACGTGCGAAAGCGGTGAAAGAAACTAGCTCGGAACCTCAATTGAGGGTTTCTACGACCCCAAAGAGACCCAAGGACTCTCCCTAGGACATCCCAGACCCTCCTACAGAGATGCCTGGATCCTTAGAGTAGGGCTTAGGGGTCAGAAGGACGCCACCCATGGACCTATCCGCTGCACTCTCCCGGAACCGGCGCAGAGCACGCCCCCTGGCAGCAAGGATGACGCCTTCACCCATAGTATCGGTGAAGGGCTCCCAATCCTACAAGATGCCTTCCCACAATGTGGGTTTAAGGCTAAGGGTCTTGATATTCCCTGATGCACTGGTTCCCAAGTCTAAACTGACAGGGTTCCGGGTTTAGACGTTTAGGGTCTAGGGTTTCAATGAAGCCGAATCAGGGAGCCTTTGTTGCCTAACTACGAAAAACATGCCCTACCCTAAGGGTCCAGGTATCCCTTTACGAGGGTCTGGGATGTCCTCAAGGACTCCTTGGGTCTCTTTGGGGTCTCAGAAACCCTCAATTTTGAGGTTTCTCAGTTTGTTAGGACCCTTATAGGGTACATATCATACTATTAGGCCCACGCCGAAAGGCAACGTAACATAGGTCTCTCTAGGTATGTTGAACCTCAGCCTCTAAGCCCTTAAACCCCACACCTCAGTGAAGCCTACCCATGCTCGCTGACTATGGAAATATAGCCTCCTTATCATTACCATACCAGAATTTAAGGTGTGTCTTCTAACTAGTGGGCTAGTGTACCGAGAACCCCAAGTTTTGAATTCCGCATCAGAGTAGCAAGGCTGCTTTTCAGCTACACCATCGAGCTGTGGAAAGCCAAAGAGTTGGGCGTTCACAGGCCTCTTAGCGTTTATGGCGTAGGGTTTATAGGGTTTAGAAGTTTGGAGTTTAGGGTTTATAGTTTATAGGGAGGAGGAATTTAGGGTTTACCAGGGTTTCTCAAGGGCTGTTCATCGGGGTTGTCTACGGTCGTTTCAGAGTTCTTAGGAGCCAATGCCCCTGACAGGCCGGTTTTAAGGAAGTGCAAGGGCTACCTGGACCCTGAAGAACCTTCCGTTTTAGGGTTTAGGGTTTACGGCTTATTTCCTTATATAAATCCTCAAAAAGGTAGGGTTTTCAGGGTTAAGGTATAGCCTATAGCATGTCTACTCTAAGCCCGTTCTTGGGAGCTGGTACCGTAAGGGAGATTGGGCTAACGCCTGTCCGCCTTTAGGCAGTTTGGGCTTAGCGGGGTTTTTGATTTATATACCCTAAACCCCGAGAGGTTTAGAGAGATCTATATGGGTGGTTGTCAATATTAGGGTCTCTTTTTGGGTCCTTATTATAATACGGCACCTAATTTTTCGGGTACCCAAAAATGGACTATAGTTTTGACAACCACCCATATAAGAGTGCATCCCGGGATGCTAGGGGTCAAACCCCGTGGTCATGAGTCATGAGCTCAGTGTTTTTTGCATTGTTTTTGCATTGTTTCCAACGGCTTTGTGGCCACAGCTCATGCTTCTCCCTGACTGCCGTACATTGCTTGATTGCTGAAGCCCCACCAACCCACGAAGCGAGCAAAAATCCAAAGCCCCCGAAGCCTAAACCCTAAACCCACAAGCCCCACCAACCCACGACCCTACACACCCCAACTACCCCAACCCTTCAGAACCTTAAACCCAAAGCCCTAAACACCCCAAACCGTGCAGACTGAAAAAGGACCCTTAAAAAAAACAAACCGTGGATCAACCCAGCATTTCGGCGCGCCAAGAAGCCAGGCGCGTGGACGTTTTGGACCACAAGTTCCTTGGTCCGCTCTTGGGAAGGCCGGAGAGTCCTTCAGGGTTTCGGGTTTAAGGTTTAGGGCTTAGGGTTTAGGGTTTAGGGTTTTCGGGTTTGGTTTAAGGTTGAGGGTTTAGGGCATCTTTCTATGGGAGTTTCTGAAATTTCTTTAAATGCTTCCTTTAAGGGGTGCCGTTAAAGGGCGCTTATAGCGGTTTAGGGTTTGGGAAAATCAGGGGTCCCTTATTTTGCCGATCTTTATATTTGACATGGATCCTTTTTGGGGGGGGTTGGGGCGTTACGGACCAGGATTTCTTGATCAGGTCCCTACATTATACGGTGTTTTAGAGAGCGCAATACGCCTGAACGAAGGAGTATGCTGCAGCGATAGGGGTCTCGAATTCATGTCCCCTGCCTGTCGAAGCGGCGGAGAGACCCTGTACACTGATGTAGACTCTTCTAGAAGAAGGGGAGGGAACCAGCATAAGGATCCCCTGGCACAGCACTCCTAGTTTGAACCGACCTCAATCTCCAGGACGAGCACCACAAAGTATTCTCAGTAATGGAGACTTGACTTAGCTGAAGGGAGGTAGTTCGGGAACTTCAGGCCGATCGACAAGCTGGCTTCTGCAAACTCTGCAAACGAAGCCGTTGGTAGGCCCTTGTCCTTTCTGCCCTGAAAATAGAGCCTCAAAGGCTGAAGCCTTTGGCTGAGTACAGCCCTGCGGGTTCGGGGTTCAGGACTTTGGGATTTAAGTTCAGGCTATAGTCTGTTCTCATGCGCATGTATCAAAAGCTTACATGCAAGGCCACATGACAGGCTTCTTGAGTCAAACTTAAACTCCAACCGCAAACCCATAAGCCCAAAACCCTAAAACCCTAAACCCTTATAGTATATAAGCCCTAAACCCTAAACCCTTAAAGGCTTAAGCCCTTAAACACTAAACCCTTAGACCCGAAACCCTTAAACTCCAGCCCTAGAGACCCCAAGAAGAGCGGCCCTACGCAGGACAGTGTCCTTCCACTGGTCTTCCGACTCCGACGTTCAGGAGGCCCTCTGAGATTAGATCCAGGTTGTGGGTTTCTTAATTATTTGAATTAGTAGTATTTCGGGAGATATATGATTATTATATAGTAATATTTCGAGAAATATATGATGAGTATATAGTAGTATGTCGGGAGATATATGATTACTAGTTACATTCGTTAAGCACATTCAGCAGCCTGAGTCGTAGAGCCCCAGGGTTACGGTGCCTCAGGCGGCGAAGCAACTCCGTGGCGTTCCCGCTGGCGCTGGTCCTGCCGTGGAAGTGGTGGTTTGAGTGACTGGGACCGTGGTTTAGGGCTCAGGGTTTATGATGTTTAGGGTTTATAGGGTTTAGGGTTTATGGTTGGTGGTTTGAGTGACTGGGACTGTGGCCTACCTTTGGTCAGTAGGGAATGGAAGAATGGTAGTAATAGTAGTTATACTTGTACCCCATTGATCCATTCCCTACTGACCAAAGGTAAGGTGGTTGGGCAACAGGGGCTGTACTGTGTTATTCAGGCCCGTTTTGAGGAGTAGGGGTTTATGGGGAATGCCTACCCAAACCAGAGTGTCTGTAAGGACCTTATATGATCTGCCAGATAAACGTTTAAGGCCGTTGAGTATTAGGGACGTAGGCAGTTTACGGTACGGTCTGTTAACCCAAAGGCTCCATGTGCCTTCATAGAAGATACTTAAGCCTTAAAGGGGTCCTTATATATTACATGGAGCCTTAGGGAATGCATTGCTGACCAGCAAGGTGAGCCGTGGCGCTGTACTGGCTGAGAGGGCCTGCAGCGTGATTTTCCGCCATGGTTCTTCGTACCAACAGCCCCATCTCATGGACGGGTTCTATACCTTTTCCACGGAGAAACTAGTTAAGGTAAAAGCCAGAAAGTTGGAATATGATTATCCTAAACCCTTTATGGTTCAGTATAGGATATCCTACCCTGAAACCATATTCCAACTTTCTGGAGTTCCCTTTAAGTCAACCTCTGAATTGTTGACAACCCGAACTTTTCCCTTGGCCTTGAGATACATCTGCAGGATGGGAGTTTGTCGATCACGGTCTTCTTGTTCAGGTCTCACTAAATTTCTACATGTCCTTTCCTCACCGAACATATTGTACCAACCTATATAGTTATTACCCATTGGCTCCATAATAATTCCTTGTTGGGATTACTTTGCAGGGTTCTAAATATGAACCGAACCTCAACACCTTTACAACGCTGCGTAAAAAAAAAACTCACCGAACGCTGAAACGACTTAACCATCCGGTTCCTAAGCCCTGAAAAAACCCTAAAGCCTTATAAGCCCTAAACCCTTATAATGTAGGAGCCCTTGGCCCTATCAACCCCAAAAATAGGATTCGTATAAAGAGCCCTAATAAAGACCCTTGGTTTCTTAATCAGGTTCCTACATTACACCCTAAACCCCCCTATAATACAAACCCTAAACCTTTCGGAGCTTGGGGCTGCGGCTGGCGACTCCGGCTCAGTGTCGGAGGACGCGTCTCACACAAGGCGGGGGAATCCGTCACACCCGGTGGACATGTAACTTAGATTCTATCTCCAATTCCCAACCTTTTAAGCTTTTTAGGTTCTTGTAGTTTAGTAGGAATCGGAAAGTTTAACTTTTTCTTTGTGTGGCTTATTAGGGTAGTAAGGTAACATAGAGGCCTTAATAAAAAAACAGTACCTACACAATAATTGTTGGGGGGAGGTCCTTACTTTAATTATGGTACAATATACCCAGAAACCCCATTCTAATTATTCACGCCCCTGTAGTATCTAAAGGATCCATGTATCCAAATAGCATTTGCCTTGGCCTTAAAGTCGTCCCTATAGAGGTGCTTTGGGCCCAAGGTATGTACTATTTGGTACATGGACCCTTAGGGTGTATCCCAAAAGGAACCCAACGGGTTAAAGGTTACATTACCCTTTGGGTGGTTGTCAAAATTGTGGTCCTTTTCTGGGTCGTTAACATATTACGGCACCAAATATTTAGGGTACCCAAAAAGCGATGTAGGGATTCATGGTTTCTGGAAGGTTCCATGTCCCCAACTTTTGGGCGTCGTGTGGTCTTCACGGACTCGGCGCTTGAGGTTGGCGTTGCTAAAGCTTGCGGGGGCCCCTATTGCAGTGTCCATTGCATTATACCCTACTAGGTGCCTGAGTAGTGCTTTTGTGTCTTTTTTTTCTCGGATCCCCTTACAAAAACAGAATGGTAGGAAAAAGGATAATTACCCCTATTATATAAAGGGGCTACCTTTGTTTTTTTTTGGATCCCCTTACAGAAACGAAAAAGTAGCAAAAAGGGTACCGTTATCTTCAATGGGCTACACAGAATCCTAGCCGACCCAACTCAGGACTCATCGTCTGAGGGGTTTGAAGTTAGGGGCTCCACGACCAAACCGTGTGAGCTTCCTTAGAGGAACCATTAAGAAAAAGAAGTTTATACTTTTTTCCCTGGTTACCTATAAAAGCCCAGGTATTATAAACTAAACCCCAAACCTTTCCCTATGAACCCAAACTACCGGAAAGTCAGGGTTCTGCCGTGTCTTCACACAGAGCGCTTCTTTGAATGTTTGAAGACGGCACGCTGCGCGTGGGCGCACGGATCCTGAGCATGCTTGCTGTCGGGTTTGGGGTAGGTGGTTAAACCCGAAACTTACCCTAAATGATATTCTGGTTTTAGTGTTTGCGGTCTTTGCTTTGGGGCTTAGGATTTAGGGTTCACCGCAAGGACCACATGATCCCTGAAACGTAGGGACCATACAACCTGATGACTACCATGAGTCCCTGTATGTCATTGAACCGGAATCGCTTTTGGTAAGGCAGAGTTTGGGATGTTGGGTTTGGGATTTGGGGTTCCAGAGATAGATAGACAGGCAGATAGACAGCTGGATCTTGGATGGATAGATTGATAGGTAGATGGGTTAGATAGGTTGGATAGAAAGATGGACAGATGGATGGAAAGATCGACAGACAGATGGAGATGTCGATGGGCGGCTAGATGCATATACCCTCAATAAACACCAAACCCTAAACCCTAAACCCAACCCTATAGATTACTATAGATATAGATGGATAGATCCATGGACGGACCAATGCATAGATGGATAGACAGACAGGACATCCACCCAGAGACTCCAATATCCCATAGTTCAGGAATATACCTTCAATCATATTCGGGATCCTACCAAAATTGACGGTATATTCCTTAATTAGTTTTAAGGGGTATTGAAGGCCCCTAAACCCTAAAACCCTGTAGATCCCTCATAGGAGCCCTTTAAGGAGCCTTTATTAAGGGATCTGGAGCTGGGCAGGACACCTTCGGGGCAATGCTCTGGGGACATGTGATTCACGGTTCTTCATACTGTTGATTCTAAAAATCCTGCATTACCTTAAGGACCCTAAACTATGGGAACTATGGTATATTGCTTGTTATGGGTCATGCAGGGTTTATATCATCAATCATCAGCCGTAGGGTGTAGGGGATTAGGGTTTAGGATTTTTGGCGTAGGAACTGGGGATTAGGGTTTTGAGGTTTAGGGTTCAGGTTTAGGGCTTAGGAACTCGAGTTTAGTGGTTTAGGGTTTAGGATTTAGGAACCACGCGTACTACGAAGTCTGTGTTTGAGAGTTTACTCGTCGTATTTCTCTGAGGGTTTATCCTACGGCCGTGCCCTTGTACCTAAATCTTTCCTACTTAGGCCTGAAAGTAGTAGCTGTGCAAAAACTCTGGTGCCAAAGGTATATACAATGGGGATATATGCTGCAAGAAAACCTTTTCGGTGAGCTGTTGGCCGCGAAACCTAGACATTAAAGCTTGGATTTGCATGCCAACGCAATCCTTGACAATAGGGATCCCCATCTATACCCAAAGCAACACCTGAAAGAATTACCCAGACCCTGGATGTCGTAGTAAGTTGTGCTTGTCACCTTGCTACCCCTCTTCCTGTTTCAAGGCTACAGTTGAACATGGCAGCAGTTGGAGCCCAGCTATAACATTCACTCTTCGAAGACCAAGGGCAGGCAAACCAGGTGCCAAGATCAAAGCAACCAGACGAATCCGTAGACGATCATGCTCCAGAATGAGACCTTGAGCTGCAACTGCCGAAGAAAAGCAACCCTAGCCGCATACCGAAATGTTAGGTAACATACTAGAAACTTGAGGAGTCTGATGAAGTCAGCGACTCCTAGACATGTTAGGCTACATACTAGAAAACTTGAAGAGTCTTGATGAAATCAGAGCATCCTAAAGGGTTTGTCGGGTTTACTTACTGGCTGTAAACTCAACTTTTCAACTTTTGGGTCTCTTATAAGGCAGTCGATTCTGAAAGTTTCAACATTTATTTCATTGAGTTTTGGGCCAGTGAGTTTTAAGGTTTCAACTAATCCTGGAAATAGCCGGACTCTCGCCTCCTCCTGTTGGCTGCGATGGACTCTCCCAGAGAGCTGCCGGGTGTGGAGGCCATGGAGTCGCCGCTTGGTCTTTTGGTTTTTAGGGTTTAGGGTTTGGGGGTTTAGGGGATTAGGGGTTTGGGGATTTAATCGTTTAGGGGATCCCTTATCAAGAAGCCAGTATTATTGATGTCACTGGAGGCTTTCGGGTTGGGGCATGATGGTTTCAGTTTCTTGGGGGTGGTTTAGACTCTCCCACAGGGTCCTAGAAACTGTTATAGGGGATACTTCCCCAAATCATAATACCATATGAGTGGTTGTCAATATTAGAGTCCCTTTTTGGGTCCCTAATATAGTACGGCACCGAATATTTAGGGTACCGAAAAAAGGAACCATAATTTTGACAACCACCCAATATAGGTACTTAGGAGCCTTTGAGGTTAGAGGCTCCAGGGCTTCGGAGTACGGCAGCGAGAGCCCAATATCCCTTAGTTAAGGAATATTGCTTAAATTATAGGGGCGTTAATATTGTGATTTAAGGTATATTCCCCAATTAAGGGGTATTGGGCTCTCTGGGTACCCTACTTGGAGGTTCATGGGCACTTATAAGTAGGGTTATAACTAGGGTAACTATATAACCCATATTAGGGGACTTGTAACCCACTTATAACTAGGGCAACTATATTTATAACCCATATTAGGGGACTTACAACCCCACTTATAACTACCCCGAACCTCCAAGTGAGGGTCCAGGTACCGAGATAGTATATACTTTGGCCCGACAGCACCGGGGGACCACAGTATAGGGCCAAAGTATATGCTATTTGCATACATGGACCCTTACCCAGAGGGTCCAAGTACTCCCTATTATCGGACTTTGCGGCCTTTTTTAG